TTAGAGCAGCTGTCAAACGAAGTATGTTGAACAGCTGAATTGTGTAATGTGTAATTATATCCAAGCTGACATTCAGTGCGATTAAAACGAGCAAAACGACTATAGATGAATATATAAGTAATGTATATTGAAAATACACTTTGACAAGTACGATAGGCGAGACCGTGAGTTATAACTGAGGTAGGTGTATGAGCCATAAGTGACATGCCTTTTTATAAATGTCCGTGTCCTACAATATGTCTAGAATATTGTCACTGTATATATTTCCTTGAACGTGGGGCGTATTCTGTTCTTGAATGAGGAATGGTGATGAGAAGGTGATTAGAACAGGCTGACCAACAGGTTCACCAACAATGAAGAACACTCAACAACACTTACAAACACTGTTGATGTGTGTTGGTGAGTGTTGATGTGTGTTGGTGAGTGTTGATGTGTGTTGGTGAGTGTTGATCTGCGTTGGTGAGTGTTGATGTGTGTTGGTGAGTGTTGATGTGTGTTGGAGAGTGTTGATGTGTGTTGGTGAGTGTTGGTGAGTGTTGATCTGTGTTGGTGACTGTTGATGTGTGTTGGTGAGTGTTGATGTGTGTTGGTGAGTGTTGGTCAGTGATGGTGAGTGTTGGTCTGTGTTGATGAGTGTTGGTGAGTGTTGGTGAGCGTTGACGTGTGTCAGTGAGTGTTGAAGAGAGTTGGTGAGTGTTGGAGAGAGTTGGTGAGTGTTGGAGAGAGTTATTGAGTGTTGGGGAGAGTTTGTGAGTGTTGAAGAGGGTTTGTGAGTGTTGGTGAGCGTTGATGTGTGTTGGTGAGTGTTGATGAGTGTTGGTCTGTGTTGATGTGTGTTGGTGACTGTTGATGAGTGTTAGTGAGTGTTGATGTGTGTTGGTGAGTGTTGGAGAGAGTTGGTGAGTGTTGGAGAGAGTTGGTGGGTGTTGAAGAGAGTTGGTGAGTGTTGAAGAGAGTTGGTGAGTGTTGGAGAGAGTTGGTGAGTGTTGAATAGAGTTGGTGAGTGTTGGAGAGTGTTAACAAGAACTGGTAATGGTTGGTGAGTGTGGGTGAGTGTTGTAGAGAGTTGGTGAGTGTTGGAGAGCGTTGGTAAGTGTTGGTGAGTGTGGGTGATTGTTGGAGAGAGTTGACGAGTGTTGGAGAGAGTTGGCGAGTGTTGAAGAGAGTTGGTGAGTGTTGGAGCGAGTTAGTTAGTGTTGGAGAGAGTTGTAGAGTGTTGGAGTGAGTTAGTTAGTGTTGGAGAGAGTTGATAAGAACTGTTGGATTTTGGTAAGTGTTGGTGAGTGGTGAAGAGATTTTGAGTGAGAGAGAGTTGGTGAGTGTTGAGAGAGAGTTGGTGAGTGTTGGAGAGAGTTGGGTGAGTGTTGGAGAGAGTTAGTTAGTGTTGGAGAGAGCTGATAAGAACTGTTTAAGGTTTTGGTGAGTGTTGGTGAGAGAAGAGTTGGTAGAGAGTTGGTGAGTGTTGGAGAGAGTTGGTGAGTGTTGGAGAGAGTAGATAGTGAGAGAGTAGATAAGAACTGGTGGGTTTTGGAAAGTGTTGGTGAGTGGTGAAGAGATTTGGTGTTGTAGAGAGTTGGCGAGTGTTGAAGAGAGTTGGTGAGTGTTGGAGCTAGTTAGTTAGTGTTGGAGAGAGTTGTAGAGTGTTGGAGTGAGTTAGTTAGTGTTGGAGAGAGTTGATAAGAACTGTTGGGTTTTGGTAAGTGTTGGTGAGTGGTGAAGAGATTTGGTGTTTGAGAGAGTTGGCGAGTGTTGAAGAGAGTTGGTGAGTGTTGGAGCGAGTTGGTGAGTGTTGGAGTGAGTTAGTTAGTGTTGGAGAGAGTTGATAAGAACTGTTGGGTTTTGCTAAGTGTTGGTGAGTGGTGAAGAGATTTGGTGTTGTAGAGAGTTGGCGAGTGTTGAAGAGAGTTGGTGAGTGTTGGAGCGAGTTAATAAGAAATGGTGGGTTTTGGTAAGTGTTGGTGACTGTTGAAGAGAGTCTGTGTTGTAGAGAGTTGGTGAGTATTGGAGAGAGTTGATAAGAACTGGTTGGTGTTGTTGACTGAGTGAGTGAGTTAAAATGTAAGATCACATCTGCAATATTTCAGCCATATCGTGACGAGAATATTTGACATTGAAATGGAATAGATGTATGTTATAAAAAACCTGTCGACGAAGGACAGTAAAACAACTAGAACCTCACAATTACAACTAAAACTAGTTTGGAGAGTTCAAACTGATAGCACTATTTGGACAATACTGGTAAGTGTTGGCAAGCGTTGATGGGTGTTGGTGGGTGTTGGTGTGTGTTGGCTAGGAATGGGGATTGAAAGGTGTGACCACCTATTCCCCTCTTAAATTCGTACATGTGTTCCAGTTCTATCAATTATTTCACAGGTCTCAAAGTAACAGTTTATACAAGCAACGAACATCTCGCTGGCACGAACTCTGGTTTGTATTTGCGTGTGCATGGACGGACCGGATGGAGCAGTGAAAAGAAACTTTCTGGGTCGTTCGAAAAAAAATGATGTTGATAGGACTTATATGGACGTTGGGGATATAGGACGACTCTACGAACTGAGGTCTGTCTTAAAATGTCTATTATCAATGTTGAAAATACACTAACCCGATGAAATCTGTTAATGATATCGTTGTGTTGAACAATGTTAAAGATATTGCAGAATACCAACTAATCAGTTTGGTTTAAGGGCTAATACCTGCTTGTTATATTTCATGAGCATATTGTAATTGATACACTTAATGCAGGCTAAGTTTACTTTTCACAGAATACGCTCAGATAGCAAAGGGCCTTTTCCCGGCTGGCATCTTAATAAGGTACAGTGTGTTCAAACAACATCATGACGGAGGCCTGTCTGCAGACCCATAACATGAATCGAAGCGAGTGTTCCACACTCAGAGAACATGTCTTGACAAGCAGCCTACCCCACTGTCCCTTATTATGTAATACAGCTGTGATGCTATTCATGTTCCGATTCAAATAAAGTAGGAAGCTTGAGGCTGAAACAACTTTTCATAATTACTCTAAAAATGGTTATGTATAATTTTATTGATTATCATCTCACCTGAAGGGTTTTGGTCCAAATATATCAATATTGCAATTTCGCTTCTTTCAACAGTGTGTTTGTAAGCAATACACTTCCTGACGTATAACGTCATCTTTACAAATATGTGGTTTATAATTTATGGAATATCTATCTGATGACTGGTTCTGTTCAATGTACATCTTCAGTCTTCGGAATGATGTACGTCTATACACTGAGTGTTCAAGTATATATGTTACTGTCAGACACGATATTTTGAAAACCACAAATAACTTATCTGTGGCGCTGGCAACAGGCGCCAACCTTTGATGGAAACTATGTGAATGACAGGCGCTTCAGGTAAGATATACGTATCGTCACTAGTTTTTCTTTTAACATGAATGACATGTTTTCGGCAGAAACCTGAGACTGGTTATTCTCTGGCACTGACGTGTGATATCTGTATACATAGTTTATTCCCGTGGTTATAGATTGAAATCTATGAAGATTACAGAACACTTGAATTTCAATGCGGCTGTTGGATTGGCGGATCGCACACACGGGAGAGAACTGTCGGAGCCAGGAATGGTAAGTGGTGTAAGATAAGTCTAAATTATGACGTTTTGTGAAGAGTATGAGCAAGGTATTTTGTACATTTTTTCCCTTTCTGATTGTGTCACAGAGTGTTCAAACATAAGGTACTGTCGCAGTCAACGGTGCGTCACCTGTGCAGCATGCCTTCCTTCAGATTCAAGCTACTTTTATGCTCTCAGCTCTTCCAAAAGACAGTGTTATCGTAAGTACTCAAACCAACAGGCAGGTGCATTCAAATGAGAATTATTTTAGTGGGATCTTGAACAGCTTTCATATGGAAATAGCATTGTTTCAATTTCACTATCAATCACCATATTCAAAGCGATCGCCACAGGAATGTAACGTTCACGCCATGTTTCCTGCCATTGAATCAGAATAACAAGAATCGCGACTCGTCAATGAAAACGAGTTCTCAGGTGCAGTACACCGCAAATTGTGACTGCACAACTGGAGACGTTTATAGTGAAGTTTTATTCCTCGCATGATGGCATAATGCGTAGAAGATGTTAGACACATATACGCCTCCGTTGCTCGAGCTGTTGAGTTGCTATCTAAGGTCAATGTCGAAGGTGTGTGATTCTCAATCTTGGCAAAGCAAGAATTTGTCACGCGCCTCTTTACCTGACGTGATAAAATTTCTTTCAATGTAATTGTGTGTATATTCCAGAACTTAGGAGGTACAATTGGGAACGCTCTTGTATATACGACTCCTGTCCTTCCGTTGAAAACATTTAAGGTTTGACTCATCTGATGCAATTCCCCGATTTGACGTCTACCGTGTATCCCCGTGTTTACTTTATTTAAAATATTGACTTTCCTTTGCATGTGTTTGTGACGAAGGGGCAGGACACATTTAGCCTTTTGCCAATCCTTGGCGTCAGCATAATTTGACAGTGATTCTTAAACATGCTCTCATGATATATATGCACTTGCTGACATTTCTTATGAGTATGGCAAGGGTTGTTGTCACCTTTCAGTGGTAAAGTGAAGGGTTAATTGTTATTGTGGAAGCTGAGGAAGAATATGTTTCAGTACATCTGACATCGAACGACCTCTATCTGTTCAGGATGTCAACACATTGCAAACTGTAAAATTGAACAGTGTCCTTGCAATGGCTGCCAAGTGTGCTCAAGATGTGAGGGCGTTGTGATGGAAGAAGCGGGCCAAAGAGCTTATGCCATTTCAACTGACAGAAAATACTGCAGAAGTAAGTACGTCTAGGAACAGCGAGTAATGTAAGGTCACTTATAGTATCAATCTGATTAGGGATGGTAGACCCTGTGTTTTTAGTAAAGGGTATGTGTACTGGTAATACAATTTGTTTTGAGTGAGTGAGTGAACATGGTCTTACACTGCTTTTGACCAACATTATGGTGAACAATACCCGTAATGGATCAAGGTGAGTATGTTGCCTACAAAACTAGTCCTTTGACGCTATAAGTGAAATTATTTACCCCATGAGACTAACCCATCACCTTGCAACTGATTACAAAGCAAGAGGAATATGATATGATAATCTATGTATCTGAACTTCAGAGGCATGTTCATGGCGTCCTGACAGCACGGGGTGTTACCCGGGGACCTGCCAGGAGGAACTGGCCAGTAACTGCAACTGCTCATCTGGATTCAGTGGTACAAACTGTCAGAACAGTAAGTTTACTTCACCAGTACAACACTTCTTACTTTCATGGTTCCATTCATTGTCCACACCTGAAGTTCCAATACATAATAAGTAGTTTATTTGGGACCTATAGACAAAAACAATGTTTATACCGTTTAGTACTATATTTGTTTATTTGCAAAGTGTACGTGTAGGCTATCGGCCCATGGTACATGGATCTTCTGTCCACAGCTTCAGTATTTAGTCGCACATAGTATAGTCAGTGCAACACGTTTAATAGTTTTAACATTAATATACCTATATCATTGGTCCATAGAGTTTCGATAATACCGTTTAGTAATAACAGAGACTCTCAGTGATTGTGACAACGTTGAAAATTGAAACCACCTTTACTTTTAACACTGCCACAATTTGTCACCAGTGATTTGACCGTCTTCACTATTCAACCCTTCAGTTGACACACCACCCGTGATATCATGGAACAGAATTGTTCTACATGGCCAGGGTAACGAAACAGCCGAGGCTCCAGTCGACCCGAACAACGCCGAGGCCCAGGAAGACTCGTGGACAAACCTGAAGAACATTCACAACATCAACTATGATTTTCGCACAAGTTTCATCCCCTCTGGACTACAGCCAAGCAGGCACACCTTCATAGATGGTTACAAAGTGGGAATTGTACAGGGAAACGTGACATTAATCCTTTTCAGAGGTATACTAGGAACTATTTACAGAGCAAAACGTGAACTGATTTAATAATTTTTTCCTTATCCTGACTCCCCGGCGATTGTCTATTATTATATTATTCGCAAAGATGACATGGTGTTTAATGTCTCATTTAGTGGCAAATATATAAAAATGTAATATTTTAAGTCAAAAATGATATTTTATACTATTTTGCTCATCTCCTTCTTCTATGCGAATGATAGTGGAACACTTGAATCCCCCTTGTAGTTCCCCGAAGGGGACGTAAAAGTTCTCTCACCCACGAACTGCCTCCCTTTTCCTACCAAAACAATCATGTGACCTGCCATGCTTGTCTCTCTCTCCTTCATCGCCCAAGCGGATGGTTGGGAGAGCACTGGAGTCCCGTATACGGCACCATATCCTTTAATATTTAGATCCTTCTACCCAATTAAGCTGAGTATGGTTTTTGGTTATATTTAGCTTTCATGGTATGTCAAAATGTTGAAGAAATAATTCGTATTTTGTAACATTTTCTCTTCACAATGTGGTTTGTTTACATTTGATGAAATTTTACAGGGTTTTTTCAGGTACCGGCTGTCAGTTACTGATCCTCAGCCCCAACGCCCGTCATGCATTAATCCATGTTCTTCCAGCTTGCGTTGCAGATTCTGTACTAATCTATCAGATTTGCAATTTAGTCATTACTGGTTTTACATCTATAGACGTGCGATGGACCGGGTGAGGAAGTCCTCTCAAGTCATTGGTGATAATCCGGAGATAATGCCGGTAACCGTATGTTGCTAACTACTGCTGAAATTCATAACTCAGGTGTATGTTACAGGGGCAGTCGTCTGTTGCTGATCGGGACTTAGATGGGTCTTAGAAGAGATCTGCTTCGACTGAATCATCGACATCGCAGATTAAGAGGAAGTTGTCCTCACTGTCCACGGTGCAGAAGAAACCTTTTTCATTTACATCTCGTCAAAGTCAACTTGTTCCAGTAAACAACGCGTCAGAGGTCTTTCAACAAAGCAGACGTTTATGGTGATCCTCCGATACAAGATCTACTAGAACGGTGACACAGTCTACCTCCACGGCGACACGATCGTCCCCTGCAACCACGATAGCTGTTCAGCTGTGTGACGATCAACCTCCAACAACGCAGATGTCTGTCAACATAGACAACACCAGCGTAGCCTCATCGCAGCTGCAAGTAGATGTATATGACGCTTCAGCATTCTCAAACGCTTCGTCCACACCACATCAGTTCCAGCCCACAACGTAGAACTTCGACTCAGGCGACTTCATGAAACAGTTTACAATACAGATGATGGCTATGATGGAGCGTCGGTTCGCCGAAGAGAGAGAGCTGCACGGCAGAACCTTACGATGACAGGCGGCGTTCGGGGAATCAAAGGCCTTCGAGAACCTGTTCCTGAGACATCTGCATCCTCGTCCCACAAGTTTACGGCCGATGACGAAGATCTTCACGTTCAACTCAGCCGTTATGGGAGAAGAGGAAGAAGGCTCCACCAACGTCAGTGAGACTACAAGAGACTATGAAGTCACGTCAGCGAACCCTACAACAACGCAGACAACTACAGGGTTCGCGTGCCCTCAGATCAACAGGCAGATATCAGCAATGCAGACATCTACAGGTTTCGAGGACCCTCAGATCAACAGGCAGATATCAGCAATGCAGACATCTACCGCGTTCGCGAACACTAGCGTTTGTGAATGCTACCTCTCAGAAGGTTCACGAAAGGAAGGTTCGCCAAAGAAAGGTTCGCAAAAGGGAGGTTCATGAAAGGAAGGTTCGCGAAGGCACAGTTCCGTGGACCCGGAACTATTTGAGGAAGCAGAGGTCACATCTTGGATCGCAAACAACTTGGACTTGGCATCCCCCTTCATGGAATTGAATGCAGCGTTCACATACAAGATGCTTGAGGATGACTTCGACACTCTCACGATTCCACCGATTGAACAGTTCTCCAAGGTGTCTGAAAATCTCCATACAGCGTTTGGGAAAGCAACCCGGTACCAGAATCAACATGTACCAATGTTCAATGGTAAGAGGTTCCCTCTGCATCACATGAGAGCGCCGGACCTGGATGACAGCTTGAAGTTGATCAACGACTCCTGTAACAAGTTTTACAAGGCGGAAGACAAGAAGTTTGCTCAACTCGACACCATGACTAGAAGAACGTTCATCAGCCTTGTGAGATCTAGAGCAACCAACGAGGCGTTGATATCCAGATTCCAGAACCCCAAGACTGAAGAAGGACCAGCACTTCATGTCTGATCACCTGGCCTTGGTGACGGCGAGTCTCACACTATGATGAAGACCTGTTCCTAGAGTTACAGGTTCACCCAACCTCTACTAGAGCTCCTTGGGCGATGCGTATTTTTTTCGGCGGGGAGATCGGCATAGTTGCCAAGGAAGTCACACATGATTCCAGAGAAATCATGATGATCAAGTCCATTGACACGTTGGCCAACGTCATCTGTCAAACGTCACAAAGGTACAGCAGAAGATGGGGTTCGGAACCACTGGACACTTCCACCCCCGACCGTTCATGTACAACTGTTGACAGTGGGTGGACGTCTACAAAGACACTGGGGATATTGGGGAATATTGGAGGACGATTACGTCTATTAAGTACTACGAGAAGGCTTCAGAGTGCAGCTGAAGGCCACATCACTGCTGACCCTCTGCCTGTTAGTCTTCAACTATGCAGACGACCAGGTAGATACGATAGAAGAAGCCGTCAACTCGCTATTGGCATATAACACCGTAGAAGTGATAGATCAACACTGTCTGACGACCGGTTTCTACTTCCCAAGTTTCTTGGTACCCAAGAAGAACTCCAAATAGAAGTTCAGGTTTATATACAACATGAAGATGATCCACCTGCCTCAATTCAGCCATCTCGTCCGTCCAGCAGATTACTTGACCAGCATAGACCTGAGATTCCTGTTCAGAGGTTGACACGTCCAGTGGAGCGTCCTGTCGTTGGAATGTCGTCGGACCTGTGGTTATTTACACGAGTGACCAAGTTCATTGTCCCCTATTTATATCGTTGAGGCCTAAGCAGTGTCTTCTACCTGGACGAGGGGATACAAATTCATCAAGAAGCCAATCAACTCATACGGCAGCCAGACTTCACCATCAAACTGCTTGCACAACTAGGATGGCTAGTAAACTTGATGAAGTCCGAGTTGGAACCAAAGCAAGATCTTCAATTCCTGGGAATAAGGTTCATCACAACACAGAATAGTATTGTGGTCCCAGAAGATCGTTGGGTGAAGATTCAAGCCATGATTCCAGAAGCAGTCATCTCTCCGTCACCACTACGAACATGGCAGTGTCTCCTCGGGCTACTCACTGCAGCGCAGGTTTGACATGCAGAGGAAGACTACATTTACGTCCGCTGCAGCAATTCCTGGTAAGACACCTGGACAGCACGGACCTGACATCTCTACAGGATAGTCTCAAGATGTACCTGTTATGGTGGACTCACAAGTCGATTGTCTGCAGAGGGACCTATTTAGAAGAGCCGGTCTTTGATACGCACCTCTACGTAGATGCCTTACTGCAAGGATGGGGAGTGAATCTGGACAACGAAGTGGCATCAGAGAAGTAGTCGAAACAAGTGAGTGCGTGAGTTAATACTTATTGTCACATCGGCAATATTTCAGCCATATCGTGACGAGAACAGTTTATAATTATATCAAAGATCAAAAAAGTTCGAAATTAAAAACCTGTCATCGAAGGACAGTAAAACAACTAGAATATCCCAGATATACATGTAAAACTAGTAATTAAATCTAAAACATTTTAACTATAGGGGACAACACAATATAAAAATAGGCTATAGATCGCCAACAACTGAAAGTAGATCACCATACTAGGGACCATGGGGACTTACTGTACCTTTGCTACCTGCATGGACCCTAGTTGAATTTACACCTTCTCTTCAGCTGCTGGCGATTGTAAGAAATGTTAGCCCAAATTAAAATAACAAGAATACTACGTTTAAAAATCCTGGTAGGTTTAAATGTACTTTGACAATTTTTGGACTTACGTACCCTCTCAGGAGGACAACAATTTTACGCTACTTCAACCCCCTTTGAGAGTACAGCCACTAACAATCTCAGTTTCTAATTTAAACTACCAATAATAAAATATGTATCTATTTACAAATCATTTAACAAATCTAATTCTTTTAAAAATGCAATAATTAAATGAGAACTTATATTATTAAAAAGATCCTTCATAGTTTGTGATTTGAAAAACTTATCCCTTGTGATGGAATATTCAACACAGTCAAGCAGGACATGCTTGATCGTAATTCTTCATCACAAGGGATGCAAAACGGAGAATCTTCACCTTTAAGCAAATATTCATGCGTATAGTTTGTATGGCCAATGCGACATCGTCGCATGATGACCTCTTCAAATCTGGACTGACAACCCAAGTAGGTGTAACCAATATAGGGTTTTATTTTATGTAATTTGCCTACTTGGGTGTCCCAATTCTTTTGCATGAGATCACGGATGTAGGTCCCAGTGCTAGCTTTGTAATCAGAGTATGGAATAAGAAGTGGTGTCACAGATTTGTTGAGTGCTGCCTTGGCAGCAAGATCAGCCATTGTGTTCCCAGAAATTCCAATGTGGCTGGGTAACCAACAAAAGACGATGTCGTATTGGTCAGTAGCAAGATCATTATACAATTCAATTATTTCAATTAAAAGTGGATGTTTACAAGAAAGATTTTTATTAGCCTGAAGGCACGAAAGAGAATCGGAAAAGATGATGTATTGTTTATATTTACGGTGTTTATTTATATATTTAAGAGCTGTTAATATGGCGTTAGCTTCTGCTGTGAAAATAGAGCTGTTATTTGGTAGTCGAGAAGATATTGTTCTGGATCCAATGACAGTGGCACATGCCACCACGCCACCATCCTTGGACCCATCTGTAAATGAGGATTTGTATGTATTATATTTATTTTTTTAATTGATTATATTCTTGTTTATATTGTAATTCATTAGGTTCAGATTTCTTAAACTTTGTCAGAGTTAGGTCAACATCAGGCCTCACCAGTTTCCAAGGAGGAGAAAAAAGAAGACGGAAAGGAGCTATATTTTGCAGCTGAATGCCGGCAGCAGAAATGAATGGCTTAATTCTGTGCCCAAGAGGCGGAACAAGAGAAGGTTTTTTTGTTGTATAAATCCTCATAGAGGGGATTAAAGACACAGTTATGTGCAGGGTTAGATTTGTTAGAGTATAGTTTGGTAATGATAATTTGATACGGCGTTGTGAAAGAGATGGCTCATCTGCCTCAACGTAGAGGCTATCAACAGGAGAAGTTCTAAAAGAGCCAAGACAAAGTCTTAGACCTTGGTGGTGGACAGAATCAAGTACTTTTAGGTTGCTTTTGCAGGCTCCACCATATACGATGGAGCCATAATCAAGCTTCGAGCGGACCAGTGATCTATAGAGGTGAAGGAGGGTAGCTTGATCCCCCTCCCCATTTTGAGTTGGAAACAACTTTCAGTAAATCGAGTGCCTTCATGCATTTAGTTTTTAAGGATTTGATATGCGGAAGAAAAGTTGAGTCGAAAATTACACCCAAGAACTTGGCCTCCTTGACAATTTTAATGGGAGTGCCTTTTAAAAACAGTTCTGGGTCCTTATGCGGCTTATGTTTTCTACAGAAGTGTAGACAATTAGTTTTTGACTTAGAAAATTTAAAGCCATTTTCGAGACACGATTTATCTCTTTTGTTTAAACGCAACTGCAGTTGCTGTTCAATAGTATGCATATTTTTACCACGACAAGAAATATTAAAATCATCCACAAAAGGTGATCCATCTATTGAATCATTTAAAACCTTGGATAAACTGTTGATCTTAACGCTAAACAGTGTGACGGACAAAATACTGCCTTGTGGGACACCCTGATCCTGATTATAATGGTCAGACAGGGTAGAACCCACTCGGACTTGAAATTGTCTGTCATACAAAAAAGTTGGATATAAATTGAGGCAAACGGCCCCGTAATCCAAAATCATGTAAGTGGTATCGTATGCTTTTTCTAGATCGAAAAAGATCGACACTGCATGCTGTTTATTAATAATGGCATTTTTAGCAAAAGATTCCAAACGCTCTCAATGATCAATTGTACTTCTGTTTTTGAGGAAAGCACATTGTATATCAGTTATTAGGTTATTGGTTTCCAAGTACCAAACTAATCGATTATTGATCATGTGTTCCATGGTTTTGCAAACAAGGTTAGTTAGTGAAATTGGTCGATAATTAGAAGGATCGGTATGATCACGTCCAGGTTTAGGAATTGGAACAATGGATCGTGTCAAGACTTGCTTGAAGAAAAGTCGATACTCCGCCGGTGCAGCGAAAGCAGTAATCTTAGCTCTACTCAGATCAACTCGCAACTTGCATGACAAGTGGCAGAGAGTTGAACAGTATGCAGTGCGGAAAGGCCTCACAGCAATGAAAGCGTCTCTTTCTTAAGTGGCGGAATATCTATGTAATCTTAGAAATAGGAGGTGATTGAAAGGTTCGACACTATCTACATACCAATTATCAGTACAATCGTCATGATGAAGATGAGCATCAACCTGACGAAAGTGCCAGAACTACTTGCTCTACTATGCTTCTTCAAGCTGTAAGACTAGCAGAAGAAATTCAGAGCACCAGTCAGGGATCTGAACATGGTTTTACAACATTTTACAAGTGTTGTCTACGAACCACTAGAGTAGACTACCTTCGAGCTACTCATACAGAAAACTCTGTTCCTCCTCGCCTTAGTCACGGCAGCTCGAATGTCAAAGATATATGCGGCAAACCGTGCTGCAGTACATCTAGGACTTAGGTGGGACTTCACTCTAAATAATCAGTTACCTGGCCAACCGGACAGACAGTTCACGTCCCAGCGCTATCTACGATCCTCGGACCAGAGGACACCCAGGACTTATCCTTGTGTCCTGTCAGAGCCCTGAAGATATATCTTCAAAGACTTAAACAAGGAGAAGAAAATTCATGCGTCTATTCATCCCCTTTGTCAGCAGAGACGACAGTAGAAGTCTCAAAGACGACAATACCATTTTGGATGTGAGCCGACAAAGCAGCAGGACTAGAACCCCCCAAGAGCTTCCAACCCACATGAAGTCAGGGCACTGGCATCCACACTCGCTCTGCACGGAAGCTGCTAGATATCATCTATAATAGAGGGCTGCTTTTGGAAGTCGGACACGGTGTGCCAACCTCTATCTCAGAGACATCACCTCTGTTTCCGGCATTCACCAGTTTGGGCCACTTGTTGAAGCACTACAAACTAACGGTTCCACAAAGGCGCTGAGTTGGAAATCTCACCCTTTATTACGCTGACTTGTTGATAGCCTTCACTCTGGAGAGTTTTGGTTGAGAATCCATGCGCACCGTCTAGGCCAGACTAGCATGAGTGATTAAGACTGTACGGGTAGCGATCTTACCTGTACACGAAGGGGTCGCAACTAATTTATGATAACGATCTTATCATAATCTATGGGTTGTTTATAGATAACTAGTAAGAAGAAGATACTAGTATATCTAAAATCTACATGAATCTAAAAGATTCACTTGTCTTAGAGAAGTATGATCTAAAAGATTCACTTGTCTTAGAGAAGTATGACAAGATGTGGTCCCCCTGAGTTGACAGCGGAAGTTACCAGAGATACAAGGGAGATACAAGACGTAACTAAGGACAGCTGATGAATCCACGAAGTGGCTTGACCCACAACCAATCCGTCGGATTCTATAAGCAAAATAGCATGAGTCAGGGTAAGGAAAAATATATCATTTTTTTAATGTAAAATTGACTCATGAGATCAAGCCCTCCCAACCACCCTGCAGAAGACACTTCGGGTTTCCCGGCAAACCCCAGGTGCATGGGCATATTCAGGAGAGAGTGACAAGCATGGCAGGTCACATGACTGTTTGCGCGGGAAAAGGGAGCCAACTCGTGGGTGAGAGAACCTTTACGTCCTCTTCGGGGAACTGCAAGGGATTCAAGTTTTCCACTACCATTTGCATAGAAGGAGATAAGCAAAATAGCATGAGTCAGGATAAGTATAAAATCTCAATTTTACTTAAAAATTAAAAATTTTATATATTTTATATTTGCCACTATGTGAGCCATTTAACACCATGTCTTCTTCGAGAATAATATAATTATAGACCATCGCCGGAGAAAAAACAAACAATCTAGATTATCCGTCAAAATAGATTCTTTTGGGTGCAGATGATACATGCAGTGAAACATTATTTGAATGATCAATGGAAGTGGTGGATCAATAGATAATATTTTGTCGAATGTTCTTTTCCGATGTTATATCACTGCCCTTAAAACTATATGGGTGCTAACTAACACTTTGCTTTTCTGATTACAGATATAACTGAGATGACTAATTTTTCCACGTCCATTAACTGTGAGAATGTTTCTGAGCTTGTCCCGCATAGAGGTCTCTTCAAATGCAATGGCGATGTCAGTGTGACGAATGACTTGACTTCATCAGAGCTAACAACAGGGGATGTGTAAGACAAACTTGCCTGTTACAAATGTATCGTTTTAGAATGTCACAGTAACTCACTTGATTTGATTAAATACATAAAATAATCATTTCCCCCCAATGATGAGAAATGTGGTGTTAACGATGTTTCGTGCTTTGACTCTTAAGTGCTTATATATTTCTTACACCCCTAGATTCTTACATCATAGTTTTCATCGGTCGTGACATGATTTGTTACAGAGTGCAGTTTCAGTTCGTCACCTCAAACGGTGGGTTTGTAAGGGTCAAGGACATGGAAAACAACAATGTGCAGACACACTACTATGCTGGTCAGTCGGGGACAGCAACATTGAGAATAGGTATCGACTATGTGAACCCATATCACTGCAATGCAACTTGGGGCTGTTCTGCAGATATGCTCATTGTTGGCAAGACAAGTAAGCAGGTGAGAAAAAAGTTTGCATAGGTGAGACATCCATTTTATTTCATATCCCCAAGTTTTTAGATATCAATGTATGTTAAATGTTTACATGTTTAAGTCTGATTTCAACACATACACTATTTGCTAATAAAACACTTCCAAAAAGACTTCAAATGTTACAAATATCTCCGAAAATATGGTCGTAAGAAACAATAGATGTAGTGCCTTTTACTTAGAATCTGGGGTATGTGTACTAGACATTTGTCATAATTTATATTATTCGTTTTAGCTGAACTGTACTAATATGTGTTTTCTTGATTTTTTTACAGCCATCATTTAATCTTCAGTGGCATGGATGGAGAGACGACACATCTGGCATACGAAGGTTTGAATTCCAGGTATTTGAAATGGAGTTTATTACCAGTGATGATGGACTTCGCATGAAAAATGTGGACCAAATGCAAACGTTTAATGCCTCTCAGGTAAGATGCATGGTAAACATGTTATATTTAGTTTATTTGATATTTAAAGTCTTAATCAAATTCTGAGTAACATGCGTATGCTAATGATCAGCCTAGTTACATGTTTTAGTCCAGACTCGATTGTTTACAAATACTGCTGAAACAAATACATGCTCGTGATATAGTCAGAATTGTACAAACGACTCTGCTTTTAGGAGATTTCTCATGTATTTCTAAAGGGTTTTGTCGCTTCTGTTAGATAATAACAATATTTACATTCTAAAAAAGCATACGTTTAATTTTAGAACACAGGAAGACTACACGTCAAGAAAAGGGGATATTCTCAGTAGAAATTACTGCGATTGACAAAGCTGGAAACTTTAAAAGTGCCAGAAGAATCATGATCCATGATGGAGAATCCCAAGTAGAGACGACACCAAACACCGTGTTACGTGCGATGTCAGCTGCAGAGATATCTTCATGGCAGTGGCAGTGGACATCGGACTCGGTCACCATCGACTGGAACCATCGCTACATCAACACGCTACACCACAGAAACAAATGGTTGGAGAGGGTATTGCCAGTTCCTAATATTGACGAGGAGTATGATGACCAAGGGTATAGCCGTGGGGTGGATCAGATACCAAATGTACAAGGTGGGAATTTTGAGATCGAATTTTGTTTACATTTACGTCTCTCGTGCGGCACTGTCATATGTTTGAGAGAACTTACAAAAGTACACAGTAGGTAGATATAGACATCAGTTAATAATGTATGCCTTCAACTGTCAAACGTTGCCCTTGCTTACAATTTCTGTCGTATAGTTGTCATATCTGAGGTGAGGTGAGGTGAAATTGGGTTTAACGTCGTGCTTGAGAATATTTCGCTCATATGAAGACGTGCATGCGTGTGTATGTGTATGTGCGGCTGCTTGTAATAGCCCAGACTTAAGCTGGGATTATAGTGCTAGCCCACTGAGATACCATGCCGCAGTGAAGCATGAATACCCCACTCAGACACATTATACTGACTCCGAGCTGACCAGTCCATGATGTACCCATTAATGCCGAGCGCCAGGCAGGGACCAACAAGCACCATATTTTAACGTCTTTTGGTATGACGCGGTCGGGAATCGAACCTGCGACCTTCCGCTTCTGGGCGGACCCTCTAACCAGTACACCACGGAGGCGGTCTGTCATATTGGAAACGTCTTGTGAAACAGGAATGGAATGGACAATTCACAAATGTGTGAATCACAAATGTTGACTGAACAGGAAGGAGCAAAACAGTTAATGTTAACTTTTTCCCGTCTCAGGAATTGTTGCCGTAAAATATGCTTACGAAGTGGACCACGAGGGGGGAACGTCAATAGGAACAGTTCCAGGTGACTCCAACTTCAGCAGCCTCTACTTGAACCAGTCCCACACAATCTCGCCCCCTCTGGTTGACGGGGATACTCTCCACTACTGGATCAGGGCTTATGACATCCGGGAGGAGTATCTGGAGGAGACAGTGACCGTCCACATTGACACATCGCCCCCTATCATTGAGAACCTGTGGCTGACTCGGGGGGACAGGCTCAATGTCAGTGTACACAACGTAGATGAATTTAATCAAATGGTGTAAGTAATGTTGAGAGTCAACAGTGGGATACATGGGTATGCACTTATACACAACGAGGCTAAGGTATCAGGTTACTGCCGTATGTATTAATATAATTATTAGGTGTACGGCGAAAGTTTCCAGTCCACCAAAGTCTGCCCAAAGGCACTTCAGGGTAAAAAGACACTGATATAAGGTATTCAGTTGGATGCCAATCTGAAGATGTGACTCGCAGTCTGATAGTTTCTGGATGTTTATGACGTTGTTTGGAAGGAGTTCCAAAGGACTTGACCAGGTTTTGAGAATGTTCCATAGGAGGTGGTGAGTGATTTCGGCACAGACAAGAATTGTTTGCTGCTGTGTCGTACAAATCGAGGTGCACGATGATCTTTAATAAGATCACAAATATATGATGGTGCCAGTTCATGCTTTGCCTAGAAGATCAGTGTTGGGATCATAAAATGAATTCTAAAATTGATGGACAGCCAGTGAAGTTCCCTGAGCACAGGTGTTGGTATACTTCTTTGTGCGATTGTCAAAACCGGCAGGTGCATTCTGAACCCTTTGAAGCTTTTCAATAGCAAAGAATTGGAGTACTCTAGATGGAAGATTGCGCGTGCTGGTGCAATTACTGTCTTCTTGTTGTTGAGGTGGTATATCATGGGGATATTTCTAATATGACAAGAAAGACCTGTGACTTGAGGCCCACAATCTCGTCTAACATAACTCATAATGTTTTTGCTTCATACGTCGGGTAAATATCTCTATCTCCAATAACAACAGGAGGGAGTGAAAGTCTGAAATGAAAACTCAGCTTATTTTTCATTTAATTGAGGAAATTGTTGACCAAATTGGTAATTGCAAGGAATATTAAATTAAATATCCACGGTTAGGCCTAAAAGCCAGATTCAACTGAGTATCCTCTGCATATAGATAATATCCTAATCCGTGGTTCCTGGCGATGTCTCCATTAGGAGATGTATTCAGAGAGAACAAAATCGGACTAGTTACGGATCTTTGCCGAACGCCATATGCCACTAGAGCCCTTTGCAATGGTTAACTTTGAACATGTACCCAGCAGGTATATCTGAAAGGAACATTAAGTTGCTTATTGAAGCTGTATTATTCAAGTGGTAGTACCATTACCAGGACGTGTTGATCGTACCAAGAAATTGTGACATATCTTCTCTGTGTTGTGAATATATCTTACTTCCGATAACCACTGATGATTATAGCACCGTTAAACGAACTATATAATCACCTGTTTAACTTTCAGCATCGAGTGGGTGAGTTATGATGATCACAGTGGTTTGGAGACAGTTACCTGGCGACTATTTGATAATTACACAGGCGGGGATCTCGTCCATGGTGTGGAGCACATTTCCGCTCAGGGTGAGGCACAGGTAAATCCTTTCGATTTTCACAATATTAGGTTGATATGATTACTATGAAATATCAACAATTCCTTAATACAAACCCCATTAAATGGTCTTCAGGACATGGTGGACTGTGAAAGTAAATACCAGACTGCATCCAGAGGCCCTAAATGTTACTGCACCCCTGGAGTTGGATGTTACCATCGACATTTCCAGATCAAGCCCAGGATTGTATCAGCCAATCTGTCACACGGAGGGATCTTCCATGACAAGGACAAAGGGGTTCATGACTCGGATTACTATCTTGAAGTTACCGTGATGAATCATGCCAAACTCACAACAACTCTAGATTTTAAGGTTTGTAAAACATGTTTGTTAACATGCAATGGCACGTATTTAGCACCTGTTTAGCTACGTTGTGTCATGCTATTCATCTGTAATATTTGATTAGGTGACCATTGACTCCAGTCCACCGCACACTGGTTCTGTTCACGACGGTCAAAGGGGCCACTCCGAAATTGACTACCAAGACAGTAAGCTGCTCCATGCCCACTGGGAGGGATTCTTTGACAGAGAAAGCGGAGTCAAGTTTTACCAGTACGGATATGCTGATCATTGTCTAGAGATAAGGGATTTCGGCCTTGATTTGTCATCACCCAATGTAAGTATGAAAGAAACTGTTTGTCTCGTAAGAAACATACAACGTTGGAGCACTTTCTTAATAGAAATATATTTCACAATGCAACAATATTGTTTCCATGGAATAGTTAGTCTCTGTCAACAGGTTGCTGAGTATTGTGTAAAACCTGACTGTTCACTCATCACACACAGGTGACCGAGACGTCCTCAACCCACGCTTCGTGGACAGCCCCTTCTGAAGGCAAGTTCTATATCACAGTAGTCGCCTTCAACCGAGCTCTGGAGCCATCTCTTCCAGTTTGTTCTGATGGAGTAACCGTGGATCAGACACCACCGTCTCTTGCCCAGATTGTTGTCCTCAACTCCCGCACTACAGAAGGTCTGGTGAGGAATGGCGAGGAAGTGTGGCTCGTCACTGCAGACAGGAGGAGGATCCGGATTGCAAACCCTGATAGTGGTTGCAGGTATATATTATCAGAAACTTCAGCCTTAAAACTATTTACAAGGAAATATGTAAACAATATATGTTTGGAAACGTTTGAACATATTTATACTTTTTATTGACATTTAGGTAGTTTAAATTGAACGTTAGATTGCACCATCTCAATCTAGAAATCATTGGTTGCAGAATGCGGGCAGCAGTGACAAGCAATCACAGCTTATCTCTACTTCCCCTTCATACACATCTGAATGGTTCAACTGTTACCCACAAAGCGTCGTCCTGCAGTCAACATCAAGCCTTCCTGCTCAGCTCCGTCAATCAGTTTTATATGTCACAGAAACATCACGTGAGTTCTAATCCACAATGACACTTTCACCGTACAATCAAATATACTAAGCAGCAAAAGAAACGTCAGTTTGGAATTTTCCTTCGCAGAAACGGATAACTGTAAACTCATGTAATGTTTTGATTGTATAGCTTTTACAACATCTCCAACTTTACCTGAGCAAAGACATTCCTTCCCAAACACAGAATTGAACCAAGGAAATGGTCTTAAAAACGCAACCTGTCCTCGGAGATGGTACGGTGTTCTCCATGTTTTTCATGCAACTCATGCTGCAAGGACCAGCCCTATAAAATGCACCCCCAAACCTGGTTGCAACATTCACATTACAACGTCAGCAAGATACCGCGACTCACGACAGCTCAGAGGAACCAGGCGCTAGGAAAGCTTGAAGCTGGCCACACTGCACAAGCCGTTGCCAATCACTTCCAGGTCAACGTTTGGACCATCTATAGGCTGCAGCAACGTTTCGGGGCCACCAACACCAGAAATGATCGCCCCCGTACTGGCCATGATGTGCAACAGCAGGTACAGAATCCCTTCATGCAGGCATCCGAAACAGCACGCCAGACAGTGGGAACACACTGAAGACCAATCAGTACTGATACAGTACGCCGACGTCTTAACAGCGGGAACCTCCATTGCCGTATACCTTACCGTGGACCTATCCTCACCCCTCGCCATCGACTACAGTTTTCCCTACAACACTAAAACTGGCGATACAGGCAAAGGAGAACTGTTCCCTTCACAGATGAGAGTCGGTACTGCGTATCAACTGCAGATATCAGAACAAGAATATGGCGACGACGTGGCCAGCGTTACTCAGACCAATGTGTTATGGAAAGAGACTCATGGGGAGGTGCAAGCATCATGATATGGGTCGGAATAGGCCCGTACCAGAAAGTGGGTCCTGTGGTGTTCCAGAACCTTAGTCTAGGGAGAGAAAGCGGCATCACAGTGGTGCGCTACATCGACCAAGCTCTCAGACCCCACGTCATACCACATTTCGCACGTCACCGGAAAAAAAATGTTTCCAGCCTGATAACGCCCGGGCCCATACTGCATGAGCTACACGGGACTTCCGACAGCTGAACGGTGTCAACATTATGCAGTGACCAGCCCTTAGTCCTGATTTAAACCCAATTGCACATCTTTGGGATGAAATTCAGAGGAGACTGAATAATGCCATACCACAGCCGATCTATTGCGCCAGACCTTTCTCAGAGTGTGGTTCCAGGTGCCAATGACCTTTATCAATCGATTGGTGCACTCCATGCATAGACGCTGTGTTGCAGTCATTGCCGCTCGTGGTGGTCACACTAGATACTGAAGTCAAGAGTCTGAATGAACTGCGAACGTTCACGTAATGTCTTGAAGTTGAGTTATTCATTGATGTATCAAGATGTTGTACACAAAAATGTTGTTGATCCGCTTATTATGTCCATTTCTGTAATGATTTGATTACAGTGCTTATCTAATTATGAATTCGCACTGACGTTATTTTTGCTGCTGAGTATAGTTTCAATATTCAATTCATATATAATCGGCGTTCCTATTACTCTGCATGATTTCCGCTCCAGCTCTATGTCAACTGGACTAGCAGTGACGCTGAGAGTGGTATCTATGACTATCAGCTGGGACTTATGTCTGATGCATCTCGTGAAGCAGCTCCAGACATCCTTCCCTACACATCCACGCACCATCATCCTCACTATGAAGGATACCACCCGCATCTCAGTGAAGGGCAGCAGGTCTATGTAGCAGTAAAGTCTATAAATAAAGCTGCATTACATGTCACTGAGGTACGTCACACACGCGCTTACACGTGAGATTTCTACAAAGTGATGCATTCTAAATAGATAAGAAAATATCCCTGGTAATGACAACCTCAAATAGATACACATGATCATGTGTAAGTCTGATATACATCAACGTTTGCTTACAGAAAACGTAAAACCATAACAATGGTTTTCATATAGTTAGGAAATAAACTTTTGAAGTTCTGACAGACTAAAATTCATGTCATGCTGTTTTTCAAACAAGGCAGCTCCCAACCTACACTCTCTTCATTGTGCAGGTCTTGGGCCCTATCACAGTGTACACTCAGGCGCCAGTGTTCACACCACCAATCACTGTTGGCTTACACGACAACCATCTTGTCGCCACCTGGACAGCTGGTTCATTCACAGATATCAAACAAGACCATCTGACATACGAATTTACTGTTGGTGTGTATCTGTTGAACGGAGCTATCAGAAATTATACTATATTTTTTCTACTTATCAAAACAGTTTTAGGCCACAAAAGGATTCAAACATGCATTTGTAGAAAGAATGGTTCATGTGCAAATCGTGAATCATCATCTGATGAGTTCAGGTGTCAAGTGTCTTCTTCCATTATAATGTATGTAGACACAAATAGTACAATCTGTAAACACTGGGATTTTTCAGTTGACATTTAATTTTAAAATACAGGATTTTAACTAAACTCAGAAAAAAATCTGATTTAAGTGAAATTTAAAAGCTGGTATGATGAAGAGGAACACCTTTTATGGATAGACAACTTCTATGTTGTAATAATTTGCTTGATAATAGGGTTAGCATCTACACATTGCAATAAACAAGTTATTTATTCATAACAAGTGTTCCTCCTTAGAAAAGTGTTTCAACAATTGTTGTAATATATGATGTCTTCAGGTTCCTCCCCGGGTGGCTCCGAGATCCTCCCCTTTCTCCCTCTCCTGTCTGGCGGAGGGTGTACTGTCACTAGATCGCCATCGTGTACAGCTGTCGCCACCGGCGACCTTCACTGGGATCTCCATCCCGCACAAACCTACTATGTATCGGTGAAAGTGATCAACATTGTTGGACTGTGGACAATTGGTGTGTCGGACCCTTATGTCCATGATGTCAGACTACCGTCTCGAGGAGTGGTTTTTGATGTCTGTCCACAGAAAGAACAAGAACTTTTTGACATCACGGTAAATCAACCTGAGTCATATAGGTTAAATATCTGTATTAACTACGGCATAGGTTATAAGAAAATACATGAAATATTTCATTTGGAAAAACACATCAAGACAATCATTAGTTGCTTTAAATGTTTTTGGTATCTTGTTTCTTTTCAGGACTTCGTGGATTCCGATCTCCAGTTATCCACCACCACGCTTGAAACAAAATGGTTTGGGTTTGACGATGGCCGGTCTGGGGTCAAGTACAGCGTCTGTATTGGGACAACTCCAGGAATGCAAAACGTCCGCGCCTATGCAGATGTTGAAGAATCCATGTCACACAAGTTTAACAACTTGATACTTAATGTAAACACTGTAAGTGAACATTATCAAACCTGTTTTTGGATATCAGATATAACTGATGACCCGATCCAGTTTTTAATAGATAATATTGGATAACTTTTAGTTGCAAAATCAGGTATTTGTCGTTTTATCTGCATTTTCTTTCATCCGCAACCCGTGAAGATCTGGGTTAGAATTAGTCTTGAGCAACCATGCTTGCAGCTTGTCAAAACTGGAGTATTTACAACCTTATCTGGAGTTTGCCAGGGTTGTATTCTTAGCACTGTCCTCTTTATCTTTTTTATTAATGAGTTAATGGAAGAATTTAAGACCTTCGGATTAAGAGGGATATGTGTGAGAGATGGAACTGATGATATCCTATGACTTCTGTTTGCTGATGATGTAACATTATTAGATGACACCGTTATTGGTTTGCAAAAGAAACTTGATTTTTTAAGAACATATTGTGATAAATGGGTTTTACAAGTAAACTTTGATAAATCATGTATTGTCGCGTTTAGAAATGGAGACTATGTCAAATACAGTGAGAAATGGACGTATGTTGGGGAAAAGGTTAATGTTGTATCATATTATAAATATTTAGTTATAATCTTCTCATGAAGACTTGTGTGGTCAAAGACATGTAAAACGTCAGTCCTTCAAGCTAAAAAGGCCTGCTTTCTCATTTGTCAGCTTATTAAGAAGTATCTTTTAATCCCACTGAATAAAATTACACAAATATTTGATACCAAAATAACACCAATATGTTTATATGGTTCTGAAATATGGGGCTATATTGTAAGAGATAATATTGAAAAGGTACATAGCAATTTCCTTAAGGAATATATTGGTGTCAGTAAATTTGCATCTAGTACCGCTATACTTGGTGAAGTTGGGATATTAAAGCTGTATTAACTAGTTTTACAGATGTATTAAATATTGGACAAGGCTATTAAGCATGGAAACTAATCGCCATCCAAAGGCATGTTATTTAATGCTTTAGTCATATGACGACAATGGTGGTGTCAGTTGGGTGTCACATGTTAGTACCTCGTTAATGGAGACTGTTTTTCATAGATCTCCCAAGATTGCGGAGAATTAAAATGTTTTATGCAATGTTCTAAACAGAGATGTAAAGATATTCAGTATCAAATATGGCAAAGTAAATTAAGTTCACCACCATTTCTTGAACCAGAGCTGTACATTTTTAGCTTACTCCGAATAGACACCTACTACGTATTCTGTGTAAATTCATATGCATGAGCTTTAAACTTAATGTACAGCAATATCGATATGATGAAAATGTAAATACTGAATTAATGAAGTGTACAAAATGCAATATAACGTCATCTAAGATGAATTTCACTTTTTATTAGTTTGTCGATCCTATGATGAAAGCAGAAAACTGTTGTTACCAAGTTGTTTTTATACTTATCCAACACATGCACAGTTTAATTTGGTAATGTCTTCGCCAAATTTAGAATGCTAAAAAATCTAGCAATCTTTTTTAAATGAAATCTACCAATAAAGTGTGTATTATATGTAAATAATCACTTCGATATCCATGCACACTGAACTATTCTCGATATTCATGGGACCAAGAAACATAATCGAGTTATCCGAGCTTCGAGACATCCGACCAGGGCATATCATCACATATCACATATCAAATATCGAGTTTCTTTCGAATATCGAGTTAAAAGGGTAATTTTGTTTGTTGGGACCATGAAATTATATCGAGATATCCGAAATATCCAGACATCCATATGGAGTTAAAAGAGCTTGAATAATGATGAATTATGAGGGATTTTGCCGGGACCGAGATGTTATATCGAGACAACCGAGATATCGAGTTATCAGAGTTCGACACAACGGGCTATCGACTGTATATACATTTTTGTACTTTTGCCCACGATGCCTAGAATGCGAATAAAGTTCTTCTTCTCAACTTCTAGGTTTACTATGTGACAGTAAAGGCATGGACACCTGCTGGAGAAGTCAGTCAGTCATCGGATGGGGTCAGGATCATCAGATACAATGAAGATGTAGGTGGTCGTGTCACAGTGAGAGATGGAGACAGATGTTCAAATGGTAGGGTGGAAGAGTGTATAAAAGTCTGTTTATCTGAACATAATTTTGACCAGACTATTTTGTAAAGCAGCGTAAATGCTTTAATTAGTGAGTAATGCTATTTTCATTGCAGGACTTCATAATGAGACAACAAGCAAGACCAGCACTCGAGATGCACCTGTAAGTATACCCAACTTTCTCCTCTGAAAGTGTGTCACGAGAACACACTGACGATTCATTCATTGTACATAGCGTAAATAAATTACACAATATGAAGTTGTCGGATTACAACGATTACATATTATTGCAAATATCCATTCAGGCTATTTCTTCTGCATGTTCACTTTTTGAGGTTTCAAATCACGAACTATGAAAGATCTTTTTAACAATATCAATTCTCATTTAGTTATTGTATTTTTGAAAGAAATAGATTTGTTACATGATTTGTAAATAGATAAATATGTGATAATTGGAAGTTTAAATTGGTAACTTACATTGTGAGTGGCTGTATCCTCAAAGGGGGTTAAAGTACTGTAAAATTATTGTCCTCTGAAATACGTAGGTCCACAAACATTCAAAGTAAACTGAAACTCTCCATTATTTTTAATCGTAGAAAATGTGTGTTTTTAAATGTATGGCTAGATTTGTCAAAGTTGCTAACATCTGAAGGGATGGCGTAAATCCAGCTAGGGTCCATGTAGGAAGCAAATGTAATGTAAGTCCCCATGGTCCCTAGTATGGTGATCTACCTTCAGTTGTTGGCTATCTATAGCCAGTGTTTACATTGTCTTGTCATTTCTAATTTAAATGTTTTAGATTTCATAACTAGTTTTAAATGGATATCTGTGATATACTAGTAGTTTTACTGTTCTTCGTCAACAGGCTTCTATTTTTTTTTTTACTGATATATGATATAATGATAAATTGTGCTCGTCACGATATGGCTGAAATATTGCCGATGTGACGATAAACAATGACTCACTCACTAGCTCACTTTTTGATATTGTATCATACACTCTGGCATTAGTGTGTTCCTGATCCGATCTACCAAGCGTCCACATCCATGTATGTAGCCTACTGGGAAGTGACTGGTTTCAACATTTCTTACACTGATGTCCAGATATCTATTGAAAGAAAATTCCATGGGTCAGGTATATAATCTTATCATTACCTTTTTTACAGCCCACAATGCATTTTTGTTGTTTTAACTTTTACTTTTGATAATTTACCTCATCCATATGCACCATCTAATAGGGGATAAACTCTTGCGCTAACAGAATCTTTGATTTGGGGAATTCGTTTTTGAATTTAAACCTAATGTCTAACTATTTTGAAAGACATGGATAAATTGCAAGGTCATGTAATCTGATAAACTTCGTATCCACATATGATATATATGCAAAATAGGTCAATACACGAACTACTTTCACAAACCTCCATATACACCATGCGAATACTAAAACGTTTAACATTTCAATGATGACGTCGTCGCGAGTTTGGTCACAACCATATGCCGCCGTCATGAACGACCTTCATCTTGGTGTACCGCTAAGAATTATCACGCGAATGCTGGATTCTCTTCATATAAATTCCCGTACGTTTTGCCTCTTTTTTAGTGTAATTTTAAGACTGACAGCATATGATAAGAGAATATAAACCTTGAGTTTATCCATACTGAGTCAAAAAAGAAACTTAACAAAATGTAATTTGAAAAATAATGAATAATTTTTCTCTGATGATACATCTATGTATCCGAAATGGGATCCCTATCTTTCGACTCTAGAAAAACGTTAGCAAAACTCATTCAAACCCTTCCATTCGTCGTGCAAATGACGTTAGTGCCAAATATACTGAGTCAAAAAAGAAACTTCACAAAATGTAATTTGAAAATAATGAATAATTTTTCTCTGATGATACATCTATGTATCCGAAATGGGATCCCTATCTTTCTACTCTAGAAAAACGTTAGCAAAACTCATTCGTCGTGCAAATGACGTTAGTGCCAAATATACTGAGTCAAAAAAGAAACTTCACAAAATATAATTTGAAAAATAATGAATAATTTTTCTCTGATGATACATCTATGTATCCGAAATGGGATCCCTATCTTTCGACTCTAGAAAAACGTTAGCAAAACTCATTCGTCGTGCAAATGACGTTAGTGCAAAATATACTGAGTCAAAAAAGAAACTTCACAAAGTGAAATTTGAAAAATAATGAATAATTTTTCTCTGATGATACATCTATGTATCCGAAATGGGATCCCTATCTTTCGACTCTAGAAAAACGTTAGCAAAACTCATTCAAACCCTTCCATTCGTCGTGCAAATGACGTTAGTGCCAAATCAGGTTTTGCACGTGCAATCGATCACGTGATCTTCGCATCGAAGTTTTCTTCATATGCACGTGTTTGCATTGGCCTCAAGAATTGAAAAAACACTTTTAAACCACAGTTCTAACGGTACTTGAAATGCCACGATTGTCAAATGTGCAACGTGAACGTGCCGTTGACATGTTGCAAGCGGGAAGATCAGTTATTGACGTCGCAAGAGCAATGGGATGCAGCCGTCGTACTGTGTATGACTTGCGAGGTCGTCTACAACAAACTGGCACCACTTCTGATCGCCCAAGGTCGGGTCGTCCACGTGTGACGTCACGAGCAGAAGACCGTCAAATCGTCCTACGTCACCTACGTGACAGATTTCTGCCGGCTACACGAACCAGGGCTGAGATGTTTGGAAGGTCGACTGTCCTCACAGACCATTCGAAATCGGTTGCGGGCTGCCAATCTCCATTCTCGACGTCCATATCGTGGGCCAATATTGACGCCGTTTCATCAACGTCAACGTCTGCTGTGGGCCCAACGTCACCTCCGATGGACCCAGAGAGACTGGAATCGAGTCATCTTTAGCGATGAATCCAGGTTTACCCTCAGATTCGCGGACGGCAGGCATAGAGTCTGGAGACGACGTCGTGAACGGTATGCCCAATGTTATGTAGGGGGCGAAAGTTGAATGGTGTGGGGTGCTTTTTTGTGGGAACAACCGTTCCCGACTTCTGGTCATCCGTAGAAACCTCACAGCTGCTGCTTACCGCGACCAGGTGCTCACCCCCTGAACTCGTTCCTTTCATGGCGGCTCATGGCCGAGGTCTACAGTTCCAGCATGATAATGCTCGGCCGCATTCCGCGATGTTGACACGAAATTTCCTTCAAAACGCTGGAATCAACGTCATGACTGGCCATCGAGGTCCCCTGACCTTAATCCAAAAGAACACGTTTGGGATGCACTTGGGAGAAGGCTTCGTGGTCTTAGGAACCAACCTCAGAATTTGCAGGAACTTGGCGCTGCCTTGCAAGAGCAATGGCGCAGAATCCCCAACCACGTGTTCACAAGCATCAGGCAGTCGATGAGGAGACGGTGTTTGGCAGTGGTGAATGCGCGGGGCGGTCATACACGATATTGAACTGAGAAATCTTGCATTTTTATTCTTGACATTTTGTATACCCATGTTTTGGAACGGCGGTGTAGCCTAATGGAACTGATTATGCCACTGTCAGTGTATCGAATACATCACACAGATCTCAGCAATGAAATAATAACAATTTAACCATCTTACCATCTCTTGTTCTTTTATAGTGCCCTGAAGAAAGACTGTGAAGTTTCTTTTTTGACTCAGTATATATTAGGAATAAAAATATGTATAATGCTCGTCAAAGGGTCGTAATATACACGTTTTATTCTTAATATATGATATTAATGATACGGAAACACACATAAACAAATTGGCAGCAGTGAGTTCTTCGAGGAAGGCACAAATCCTCTTCAGATGTTTCACCCACTCCATGTAATCAGTGATGACACCATCGGTGCAGGCTTCAGCACCCTTTAGGTTGGCTGTAATGTCCTTGTTGACACTCTGGAAGATTTTTAGAACTTTTAAAACCACTTACTTTCTTTTCAATAAACCATGGAAGATGGTATTTATGTAATGGTTGACCAGGTATTTGCCAAAAGGCCTCGACTGAAATTTCTTTGAGAATTCTCTTAGAATTTTCATCAAAATGTTCTTTCACAGGATTTTACTGCCAAACTCAAAATATGATTTCGATATGAATTTGGTTTGTACGGAAAAGATTCCATACATATCTTGGACATTTCTTACAATTTTACACATGACCTTAAAGCCTAAGATACTCACAATTTATCAACAGATGATCTGTGGCACACTGTAGATGGGTACACAAGTCTAGGAGTCGCTGACAATGCAGCGTTAAGTGGACTTTCTCTTGACCCTGGACACACTTACAGGGCTGCCGTCATGTTCTGTGTCGTGAGAGTCTGCACCAGGCCCGTGCACAGCAATGGTGTGACTGTAGTTCCCCATCCCCCCTGTAGCTGGGGGCATCAACATTACATACTCCGAGACAGAGATCTCGTCACAAGTGAGCACAATGGTAGCCAGTTATGTTATGAGGGAATGTCCAGAACTATAGTTTCAGCTATGGGAAATATACATGGATCTTACGGAAAGATGATAGCTCTTCCATATACTCCATACAGTGTTGACATACTGGCCTAAGGTCTAACATTGAGACATCATTACTTACAGTCGCATTAATTCAAAAGTCCATCATGTCCATATTACAGTGTTTCAACAAACTGATCATCAATCATAAAGGAATCACCTGCAAATGTTCTACTTTTCATGGGTTATTGTATGATGGAACAAAAAATACAAGTTGCACTTTCCTGTATTCTTTGCATAGCTGGAGGTTGCAATGGATCGTTTCCGCGATCGCGACATACCTGCTACGTCTGAGTCGTATGCTGTGATGGAAAGGTATGAGTGGAGTTTGGTCGATCCTGGACTCCTCACCGAGTGGGCACCTGTGGCCAATCTGACTCATCAAGGAAATCAGGTAACTTAAGGAAGACGAAATGCAATACGAAAAAACTAACGATCGCATGTATAAAACACCGTTTTGATTTCAACATGACACGATTCTTGATAATCACATGCATTTTTTGGTTTATCAACTGGTCAGGTTATATTCAAGATCAGCTTCTCCAGACCGCTAGACTTCAGCAAGTGCCGCCGGCTAGCCATCAGAGGGTACAACAAAGTAGGGCTCACTACCGCAGTGTCTGCTGATGTCAGAAACTGCTCTGCCTTTGATCCACCTCTGGTGAAGCCTTCACTTGTCATTGACGCCACTGGTTAGCTTTTTGAAATAACAGTATAATATTCATATGAAAAGTACATATGCCTCAGTAGGCTGCGTTTGGTAATATTATAAAACGTTATGTTGACTTGATATATTAGTGAACAAAAGCATTTGTTCCCAATAAATCATCTTTGATACTCTGTACAAGTTTCCCCCAAGATTTGATGGCTGCTATCTCATAATTTCTGCTGCCCAAAAAACCTCTTCCACGCACGTGTTATTTGCGGAAGGAGTGACTAGGCATGAGGAGAACATTCAAAACCTCAATCTGCAGCTGAAGCCTTTACCACGTGTCATGTTCCCCCAAAACACTCATTAGATATTTGAAATGACATTATAATATTCACTGAGTGTTTTTTTCCATAATCGCCAACACCTGAAAGGATGATGTAAATTCAGCTAGTGTCCATGCAGGTAGCAAAGGTACTTTAAGTCCCCATTGTCCCTATTGTGGTGATCAACCTTCATTTGTTAGCGATCTATAGCTTGTTTTTATGTTATGTTTTGTCCATATACTGCTATTAGTTTTAACTTTACATTCTAGTTTTAATTTTAACTTAGATAGACTTGTTCATTTACTATCCTTTGACGACAGGTTTTGTAATATACACATGTTCATTATCAACGTCAAGTTTGTTCTCGTCGCGATATGGCTGAAACACTGCCGATGTGACGTTAAGTATTAAATCACTCACTCACATTACTAGAAGCAAATGTCAATAAGGATTGATCTATTTCACTTTTTCGTCTTACTAGACACTTCCTTGCTTACCTGCATGCTATTCATTCCCTGGCAGGATCAAAGATTGCAGAAGGCATTGGGAACGACATCATCTTAGAACAAAATGCCCTCTGGCCCATGCTGGATGTCGACTATACTCCCTACAAAAACATCCTGTCAGCTGTGTGGCCAAGTCTACGTCACAGGAAGTACAAGTGGGCGGTGGTAGCTGGTAACAGGCTGGATCCTACATCTCACTTCAAGCGGCAGAGTGTAATGACTGTCTCTGACCCATGTGCCTTGGCCGATGTCATCAAGTGTGGCGAAACAGGTGAAGTTGTGATGAGCACAGATTATATGTCGGTGGCCTCACAATCATTTGTATGTAGTTTCTTGGTGATAACTGGAGTATATTCGTTTAAATTCAACTATTTTCTCAGTTCAAAATTACACAATTATTTTGCTACTTTCCACCATTTTCCATTTGCTTCAACAAGGTCATTTGGTGGGACACTGAACAATGGTCATAATGACTCATCTTTATAAAGAAAATTCTGCACTGAATCCCGTACTTTCATCGTGTTTTGTTCGTTGTCTAGGAAAGGAATTTGTCAACATACACTTTGACCAGAGAGAAGAACTCTCCCATGGACAGAGGCTCTACGTCTGTATTCATGCTGATGAGATGGAAGTGAGGTATGAGAAGTGGCCAACTGTCTTGGAAGAGGTGAATGCGTGCAGTGACGGTATCACTGTTGACCTCACCCCACCATCTCCAGGCTCGATCACCATCCAGGGGCTAAAGGAAAACGTATATCAAGTATGTCAGATATTATTTACTTTTTCCTATCACCTATTCTATTGTATTTTGTAAACGTTTTATTTGTTTGCATTGGTAACAAAAATATGTTGCCTTGGTTGTTTCAAGTTATAATTGACTAATTTTTACATGTGTTTGTAACAGGCGCAACCGATGGTTCAAGATACACCCTCGATTTTGCAAACCCCTTGTGTGATAATGACTGGATAGTGTTTTGTGAACGAATGTTTATGATATAGTGGGCATCGTACTGTGGCCTTTGATTTAGCAAAGCTGTGTTGTGATTTTCAAAAGTGTTAAGTTATTTTTTTATGGGTTAGTAACATAACCTTAAGAATGGTGGTAGTCAAAAAGAGACGGTTGGGGACATATTGCAGCTATTGACTGGATATATTGAACGTTCTCTTCAAATGCTGATAGAATCTTTCCCGAAAACAAAAGTGACATACAAAGCAGTATTTTTGCAGACTGAGCTGTTATTTTCTGTTATTCCTATGAAGTGAATGTGTGTGTTTTAATATAAGAAGAAATAATGATCAATCATCCATGAACTTTCAATATTCTCACAGATCAGCACATCTGAGGTGAGGGTTGACTGGTCTGGTTTTATTGATGTGGAGGAGGAAGGATGGAGTTCACATGCGAGCGGCATCGCCTTCTATCATGTTGCATTAGGTAGGACAATATTGTATACTTAGATCTATGCCTCATAATTTGTGTAGATGTTCTTTTCTGATGTTAAATGTTCTGAGAGGGAGCTCAGGAACATGGACTTTGTACAACAGATTAGTATGTAAAGTATATTACTGTTTGCATTGCTGAACTTACAAACGAGTTCATGTGACAGGGTCTATGCCAGGAGAGGAAGACATCAGAGAGTTCACAAATGTTGGACACCTCCACCACACCACACTGTCAGGTCTTCAACTACAGGACGGACACGTCGTCTATGCTACTGTCAGAGGTACATGGTCTAGGACAAGTGTTTCAGTTGATCTATATTACAAATTTATCAGTTATGCCCATTTACAAAATGTATATGTGCTTCTTTTGCAACAGACCTAATTATACTACAATTGACATAAGTATATCTGTTCATTTCTGTAGAATGATTCTAAGTATGGTTTATATGTTTACAGCTACCGACTTTGTCAACCAACACACAACAATATCTTCATCAGGTTTTGTCACAGACTCTACTCCACCCTATCACACGGACAAGAACATACAAGTTGAATCAAGATACATCACATCGCCTGTCCTCCCAGTGTGGTACGTGTCGTTGATGTATAAACTTGTTAAAACAACAGTTTTTCTTCTTTAGTCTTTACATAAAAGAAACATACAGTGTGATTATTGCTCATACAACATGTAAATCTGTACACAAATATGTGTTCCGTCAGATGACCTATTTCAGTTTATCAAAGACACCATTGTGTCAATGATATCCAGCCATAATCGAAACTTTCACATCAGTACTGAACTTTTACTTTGAATATCGATAGTGTTCCATGATATCATTACAATGAGTGACGTTTTGTGCTGCGTTGCATTTCAGCTGGGAGGGTGTGTTTGTGGACGAAGAGAGTGGAGTCAAACATTTTGATGTTTATGTTGGAAGTAGACCGGGGCACCAGGACATCTTGGTATTGGGAAGAGTAGAGGAACTTTGTACAGAACTTGACCTTTCCCAAACAATGAAAGATGGTCACAGTGTGTATGTTACTGTGAAGGTGAATGTCATTTTGTCATAAAACTCTCGAAAACTTTGGCTTTTAGTCAATATTATAGGCGTTAGGAGTTTAAAAAAAAAAAGATCAAATGAGTTATCAAAGCGCATGGTCTTAAATCATCAAAGAAGACCTGGTCTTCGTGTCCCCTGAAAGCATAAGTGTATATCACACAATGCAAGCCTTTCATTCATCAGTGTATGCGGTGTTGATGTATGTTTTGTTTTTCTCTGCTCTGCAGGCCTACAACAAAGTGAGCCTCACCGCATTCATCACGTCACATGCCCTGGAAGTGGATACAACGCCCCCTTCTGTCGGTCACGTGTTTGATGGAAGATCATCAGCTAGTTCAGCAGAGATGAAGGATGAAGATTACATTACCAGGATGGAGGACATGGGAGCCCATTGGGAGGGGTTTTCTGATCCCCATTCTGCCGTTTCTCACTTCTTGGTCAAGGTTGGGACCTGCGCTGGATGTGAGGACACAGTAACGGAATTTGATGCAGGTGCAAGCACAGGTGGGTTAGATCGGGTAGGTGAGGTGTACAAACTGATAGGTCACGAGAAAATTAGGTCTCCGTCCTCTACACAAACTTACAGCCAGTTACAACATACTGTTTCTGTAACCCCTGCATGACCATAACGTAAAACTGATAGTTTAGTAACACAAACAGTTGAAACCGACATGAACGTCTTTTAAAGTATAATGACGTTAATGTATTTGTATTCAAAAGAAACTGTATTAAAACAATTAAAACAAGTGGTGTTAAATGATGTTCATTGGTTTGCAGTAATCAGTAATCAGTTAACAGCTGAATTGTCAATCAACTGTGACATTCGAGGGTCAGAGTAAAGTAAGGAAGATAAGGTGTTAATATTTTGTCGCTATAAGCAGTGCTTGCTATTTTGTTTACTTTATTCCCTATTTGAAACATGAATATGAAATTTTGGAGGCCAGCTTCTTTAGCTGCTGAGAGTCTTAAACTAAATCCAACCTCAATTTGTGTACTTCAAGACTGTAAATCCAATGTTTCAATGCAACGTGACTGAGTGCTTTGTTTTCTTTCCGTTTCAAACACTATGTTAATGGCTCGTTATCGTTTTCCCAAATTCTGCTCCCAATTCCATCAATTTCCGAAACTAAAGCTTAGGATTTACCATTTGTTTCCGAACCCACAATGTTATACTGAATGCAACTATGATATAACAAACTTGTAATATTTTTTCCAGATGTAGTCTTCCATCACATTATGTTCGCTGAGGGTGTCAGGTATTACGTGACAGTGACAGCTTGTAACATGGCGGGACTGTGCAGCAGCGCAACATCTGATGGTGTTATCCTAGATCAAAGTCCTCCTGTCCCTGGCAGCGTCATGGACGGCACACAAGACCGAGACTCCCAGTACCAGGCATCCAGGTCGGCTCATGTTCCTGCTTATAATATCAATGTTTATTACCTTATAATATGTGTTATAAATCATTATGCCTAGCAATATATACTCCCTTGTATCATCCGGAGACCATTACAACACCAAAATGCACTTGTGCGTATGTGTAATTATGTTTCTATTCATAGAACGTTCCTTGGCTGCAAGTGGCATGGGTTCCAGGACACAGAGTCAGGTCTGGACCACTATGAGTGGCAGGTGGGGACCACACCAGGAGACAGTGACATTTTCTTATCACAACATGCTGCCCTTAAAGAGATGGCATTCCTCACACTGAACGAAAGTCAGATGCTCCCCATCGGAAAAAAAGATGTATATAACAGTTAGAGCGTTCAACAAAGCAGGTATAAATGGTGTAGAGATTCATTATTAATAATACCAATTTCAACTTATAAACATTCTTTTCTCTGCCTTCAAATCCTTTTATCTTTTATAGCACCGACAGTGATGAATATTCTATCCGAAAACATAAGCCTCAATGTTTTAAATAATTATCACATTCTTCAGGGAAGGCAGTTTCATACAATTCTACTAATGCTACCTTTATAATGAAGTCATGTCACCATGAAGTTTATGTCATTTTCGTTTCTCTATACTTAGACAGGCGATGAATGTGGTATTGTATGTTGGTATTTTATGTGCTTATGACTCTAGGGGTGTTCACCACATCAACATCAAATGGCTTCATCATTGACAACAGCGCACCTGAAGTTGTGAAGGCCCCTGATCTTGTGGAAGGTCAGGGGTCCTTGGTTGTCATGACACTGATAAGTAGGTCCACTGCGAAAGTCAGCTGGGAGGTGAAGGACGAGGAGTCTTCCATAGAGAAGCAGTACATCTCAATCTCCTCTCATCAGCTAGGGGAGTTCAATTCTTCCTTGATGGAGGTGAGAGTCAACTGTAAGGTGTTAAGAGGGCCTATGTAATATCACTCCCTGAAAACAGGAAAGTAACAAAGATTCCAATCGCTTTAATGCTTGGTAAAGAACGTGTGTTATTGCATAATGCTATCTGCCTCAAGTATTTAACAACCTAACCCAGAAGCCCCTTTTTGCCTTCAGATACCAGGACCTTTGAGAGAATATACTTTCACACAGCTGAATCTTCATGATGGAAGTCATTACATTGTGAAGGTTATATCATGCAACATGGCTGGTCTCTGTACACAGAGTCAGACTGGAGGCATCTTGGTCGACAGCTCCGTACCAACAACAGGTAAGTAAATATTTATCATAAACATGGTTCTGAACATAATTTCCTGTAGACAATAATTTGTATTCTCTTTGCAACGACATTAAACTCAAAATCATATTCATCTAATTCGAGCTCACCTTTGCAGGGGTTCTTGCTGTACAAACGGACCATGCTGCCAAATTGTCAAGGAATCAGTCCAGTTGGATGACTTGGACAAGAACCAGTCTTAGCCTTGCTTGGCTTGGGTTTGCTGATCTACACTCTGGCATAGACCATTACATAACTACAGTGGGCTCCAGACCATTTGCTGCCGACTTAGCACAGGTTTCGTCATTTGTGAAACTGTATCATGAATTGCACCGTCCTGAAGTTTTCAGTGTTTATAGTTCAGAGTTCAGTGGATCTGATTCCGGTTTCATATGTCATATCATAGTACAAGATGTACTGTATGTAATATCTCATGGAATATATGTTTTGCAGGATATTAACGGTATGGTTTATCTGAATGTATTTATTGTGCACGATATCCAGGACCCGCTGGTGAAGGTATACCACAACATCAGTGGAGTGGACCTGGAGGATGAGGGAATTGTGCAGACATTCAACATCAGTACCAAGGACTTGTCTTCTAGATCTTCTGTATTCGTCACCATGTGGGCAGTAAACGGTGTAAGTACAAGATGACTTTCCTTGTTGTCAGATGTCATTTACATTCCTTCCTTCCTTTGTTGTTCAGTTCGTTTGGTTATTCAGGTGGGCCTTAAGAGCAGCCCCCTCGATTCCGAGCTGGTTCTGGGAGAAGGAGGCGAGCTAGAGTTGGTGAGACGGTGCAGCTCCTACAACTGTGAGGGACACTGTGTCTGTGCTGCCCAGGACAGGACATGTGGCAGTAGTCAAGGGTGCAGAATTTTGGACAATGGTATGCTTATATAGTGTAAGAGCGATCAGACCTATATCAAAGTGAAACTAACAAAACACCATATCCTAATTTTGTGTCGCACAATATTACAATTTAAACCACTGAGAGACCATGCCCATTACATTACGTTTTTCCAGGCATGGGGAATTCTTCACTGACAGTCATAGACACCACTGATCTGAAATCTCTTAAATCTCCTGTGTTGGGGAATGACGTGGACTTCTCTCCCTTTGACTCATTCCTTGCAGCATCATGGACGGTAACCAACACACAATCCACACAACCCGTGAGGTCAGTTACACCGTCTTCTTGAATTCTGCCACATCCTTCACTTATATTATATCGACATAGATAAAGCCCGCCAATGTTCTTTGCAGGTACGAGTTCAGTGCCGGGCATTCAAGTGGGACATACCCGACAGGAATATATACGGAAAGTATCGAACGAGTGTGGTTTGATACAGGACCTTTAATGTCTGCAGTCATAACTCTACCCAAAGGTACGAGGGTAGATCGTTTTATGTTGATCCGCGTTCATTTGATGTTATCTTTATGATGAAGTGTATATCGGGATGTTCACAATATATATTCCAGACAACGGTACAAGAATTTGTATCGAAACGTTATAATCGCAAAATGAAAGAAGTTGTTATCCATAAAGTTTGTCTATCCTCACATGTAATCTTAGCTGTGAAGTTTGTATTGGAATGTTCACAGGGCGTGAGCTGACACCAGGACTCAGCTACAGTGTATTTGTGCGGGCATGGTATGACGAGAACACATACAACATCTACAAATCCGATGGCGTCCTCATTGATATTACAGCACCAAGAACAACTTCACTGCAAGGAACAGCGGTGGGTGACTTGAGGAATACCCTTTCTAAATCCATGCAAATTCCATCACTTGTGAACCAGACAACACGTATCAAGTACATAATGGCATGATTATCCACATATAAATTAACATGATCGGACTTTTGATTAACAAATGTCAACATTCAGTTACAATGCGCCAAGAGGATAGAACTATTTTGCTTCGAAGTCACCATTCAATGGTTTTCTTGTAATATGCTATGATTAGGATTACGTTTTCTCAGTAAAGTTTAGATGGAAGTGCTGTTGGGTCCTTCCGACAATTTACACTTTTCAGAGGGGTACACACAGTGCGTCATTTAGACTACCAGTTGTTCGATGGCTTAGTGTGATAAATAGCGAACCATGTGTCCTGGCGATTAGATGCCTGACTCCGAGAGTGTTGATTCGAATCCGAATGGGACACAACCTAACATATAACTTTGAATCAGTATTTTGCTGAGAAAGTGTCATTCGAAATGTAACATTTGTTATCTTTGATCACTTTCTGAATGGTATCCAATGTGTATCCAATGATGTTTTTCATAGGTGAAAGAACACATGGAATCTGGAGACAGGAAGGACATCGACTACCAGCATCGCGTAGATAGGATATACCTGAGCTGGAACAATGTACTGATGGACACACAGTCAAGACTCCTGAAATACAGGGCTTACACAAGTACTTCACCTGGCGGTATGTCTCCAGACCATGGTAGCTCAGGACAACCAAAGTATTTGTTTCAGTTCTGTCACATAAATCTGAATTCTCAAAAATAAAATCTAACTGGGCCTGTTCCAGGTTACAGCATACATGCGTCGTCTGACATGACTGCCACGAACTGCACAGTGTCTGGGTTGTCTCTGGAATCGGGAACAACATACTACTCTAATATCCTTGCATATAACGAAGCAGGACTGGTTGCCTGGGCATTCTCAGATGGGGTGCAGATTGATGTCACGGCACCAGTAGCAGGGACTGTAGAAGATGGAGACGGTAGGCATAGGATTTCTGTACCATTCAGCCATGAAAGAATATAGAATATAAATTGTAAGTGGCATGTCATATTAAGTCGGTCAACATAATTTCATCTTTCCTGTCACTGTCCAGGTTCCGGTGATGTTGACTACCAGTCCTCCCAGACACAGGTATCTGCCTCCTGGTTTGGGTTTGCTGACAAGGATTCCACAATCAGCAAGTATGTCTGGTGTGTTGGTTCAACCAATGATCCATCTGGATGCAGCATCGTGGATTGGCAGGATGTGGGGCTACACACATCAGCAAGAGCACGCCTTGAATCACCACTTCCTAATGGTAGGAACATGAATATTTGATCGGATTGATTTTGAAGGATAATACAGCTTAACCTTGGACATGAATATATCGAGTTACACGATACAAAGACATTGTGCATTTAAAGCAATTTCATTATTTATTCATTCATAGAACAAAACTGCAAACATTGTAAGACTTTATCACCAAATGCAACTTGGTGATCAATTCTGTCAGCCATGTGGTTATCGTGTATATATATCATTCATTCAGAACTTTTGGAACATAGAAACATGTCGAGCGGAATCCACCATGTGCAGGTTCTAAACTTCGATATAGTAATAGTAAAATTTCGTGTCGAATGTTTGTGACCGGGAGAGTATGGTACAAGTCAAAATAAGAAATTGTAATCCGAACACGTTTAATAGCACAAATTTTCAGGAGTCGTATGACGCTCTTTGATATCTTTGAAAAAGCCATCCTCAGTTGTTCTGAAATGGAGAAGCTGCTGGAATATTGGTGACACAAAGAGGAAGTTGGCTAGTATTCTATAGGAAATACGGCAAATGCAAATATTTTTACATGTGTACCTTAAACATTTCGTAACTGACATAATTAGTCATATTAAATAAATAATGTCGACGTTAACTGCTTCTGCATTTTTGTTCACATACATTTGACCGGAATGCCAGTCCTTTAAACTTAGAAATGACAAGTCTTTATAGATGATCAACTTCTTTATTGTATAATAGCGACGTCTCGGTATAGATACTTGAAAACGGTATTATCATCCATACCGAAACGTCGATATTATACAATAAAGAAGTTGATCGTCCATAAACACTTGTCACCGGTGAAGGTCCGGGTTAGAATATTGATCTTCAGTACCACATGCTTGTGTAAGAGGCGGCTAACGGGATCGGGTGGTCAGGCTCGCTGACTTGGTTGACACATGTAATCGGTTCCCAATTGCGCAGGTCAATGCTCATGTTGTTGATCACTGGATTCTCTGGTCCAAACCACGTCATATAGCTGGACTATTGCTGAGTGCGGCGTAAAACCTAAATTCGCTCACTCACGCCATAAAGACTTGTCATTCCTATTACTTGCAACGCCTAGAATGCCTCTCAAACAGTTCTTTTAAACTTCATATAACATTTGATGCCTTTCAAATGCACTTCAGCTTCACTTTAAAGCAGACATTTGTTGACTTGTTGTCTATGCTATGCTATGACCAATTTTGGAAAATATCACTGGTGGTTATGACTTTTTTGGTTATTATTGACAGGAATACAAGTATGGGCGAAGGTTTATGCAGTAGACGTTGTTGGCCACACATCTACGGTGGTTGTATCAGATGGGGTCAGCATTGATTCATCGCCACCTGAAGTTAAGGACATTGCCTATCTAGGGGAAAATCTGGTGTCCAATCCCTCCTTTGAGGAAAGCACTAGCCAATCCACTGACTGTCATCCTGAACTACCTTCATGGAAGGCTGGGAGGCACTCCTGCATCAGGCTACTGACACCTGGTGTTCACCATGCCACACACGGGAAGACAATAGTTTCTGTACGAGGCAGCATACAGCAGAATGTCATGAACCTTGACGTTGGCAGCAGATATAAAGCCACCATCCATGTTGGGTATCCTTTGGACATTACTGTCAACCAGAAAGTAGCAGAAGGTTTCATATCGTTTGGGAATGACGTCTTTACCTTCAGCCTCGATCCACACCTATGTGTAGACTCGTGTTATGGTACAGATGGACGAGTCATTCTGTGGAGCCAGTATAGCTTCAGTTTCCTGGCACAGAACGCCACAACACCGCTGAAGATTGGGACGTCTTCAATCAGCATGGAAATGGCCCTGGATCACGTGTTGTTGCAAAGAGTGGATCATGTAGGGAATGCAGATACTCTGGAAACAGAAAGTAACGTCAAGATTCAAGCTGTCTTCCGGAAACACTGGTCATCAGTCCATGTATCTTGGCACTTTCATGATGGAGAGTCTCCACTTGTAGAATACACAATGGCTGCGGGTGCGTTTTGCAGAAACAAATGTCATATAAGTCTATATCTTGTTCGCTTAACCCCTTGTGTGTGTGTGTTTGTGTGTGTATGTATGTATGTGATTCGAAAATCCAGAGTGAGTGAGTTTAGTTTTACGCCACTCTCAGCAATATTCCAGCTATATGGCGGCCGAGAAGTGTAGAACGTCCAAATACTAAGAACTATAGTTTTACTGTGTCGTGATTAATTGGTGTATTGTTATTAGTAACATGTAGAACTGGTAGTTAAATGTGCAGAACATGCCTGGGAATATCACTGACACCTGGTGGCATCACCTTACTATAACATCAATCAATATACAGGCAGATTTCAGTTTAGAAGCATCGAGCCTATTTTTATGTGACAATGATGTAATCGTAACGATAATGAGCGTGAACATTACTCAAATTAGTGCAATGCCAATGAAATACGTTTCTGAAAGGTACTGTCCCCGGAGGAACTCAGGTGCAGGGCTTTAAGAGTGTTGGCCGACACGCACATGGAACTCTGTCAGGTCTGAGACTGTCCCACAAACAGAAACTGTTCCTGACCATCACTGCCAGGAATGCTGCTGGTCTCACAACCGTCTCCCGCCCTGACCCCATCACTGTCGACATGACCCCGCCGGTGTTCTCTCACATCAATGATGGATACGGTAAAGTGAAATACTTGTGGTTCTGTCAAACTATACTACAAACAAAAAGTATGGGAACACTCCAAAATATTTAATGGTCATATATAAACTTAAACGTGGTGAGGTCATTTTATTCTCTAAGGTAAATGCAACTTGTTGTGTGCATAATTGACCCTTTAAACGACATGTTGGAACATACAGTGAAGCAAGTGATTCAATATTTGTTGAGTTTGAGTGAAATGAAACATTGCCGAAAACATAAAAAAACAGGGTTTTGAAACACACCAGCACCATGTTTGATTCCAACCCCCCAAACCCAACAACCTTTTGCACGTGGAAGAAAGACTTTTAGGGTGTTCCCATACTTTTTGTTTTTAGTATACTTTCAAAATAGACACATAATACATCAGAGATAAACGAGACATATTTTTTTAAACGGTCGTACGATTGCATATATACAGTTAAAAATGGCCATTTTAACGTAAGTTGCAGCTAAAAACTGTTGAACATTAAGGATAATTTATTATTCGTTTAGGAATGGACATTGACTACCAGACTTTGGGCGTTGTGTACGTCAACTGGGCAGTCGAGGATGCTGAGTCGAGAATTCTGCACTGTAGCTGGGCAATAGGTATATATGATATCCCCAAAACAACAGCAGTTACTGACGTGTCCTCAATAGCTGACGTGGTATTGTAAATATTCCCTAAGTTGTTTTGTTAACTGTTGTCATCTGTATTGTTCATTGAGCTTCGTTGTATTTGGGGAAGATAGCCCTCTGTCAAGAGATACTTGTCAAACGAGTCCATTGATGGAACATCGCTGACTAAATATACACAAACACAAGTCTAACAGGTGCCCTTTGTCAATTTGGTGTTTGGTTGTTATTTAACGCCCAATTCAGTAAACTTCGAGTTGTATGATTGAACTCTGTAAATGTTTGGAGTCTAGACTAGACAATCTAGTCATTGGTATCATAGTCCAGAAGCATGGGTTGATGAAGACCAATACATGGGGACTCCTTGTTCCGGGTTGAATGTATTCAACCTTAATCGGTTCATCACATGAATGATATGGAAAACCTCATATAACAATACCATGCCTCTTAATACAACCTGGTCTGAGCAAAAATGTTTGTGGCGCGCGCGCATGCACGCACGCAATGACACACCCACACACACACACGCACACACACACACACGCACGCACACACTATCCACTACGTGTGCGGACTTAGTCGACAGTAGTGTTTCACCTGTTCTACTATTTCATTCATTGCTTCACATTCGTCTTTTTTAGATTAAGTAAACGTTTATTGCTACAGCGATTTGTTTCTGATAAAACGTTTGATTGTGGACTGTTTAATACATGCATTAAAGACATTCTGAAAAGTAAGTGTTCTCCCAGGCACGACTCAAGGTAAAAGTGACATCAAGATGTTTGATTTGGTTCTCCGAAATCAAACAACAGCTAACTTTGACATCACAAACGTCAATATTAGCCTTCCTCTGAAGATATTCACAACGGTTCGTTGTATCAACAACGTGGGTTTGATGTCGTCAGCCGTCTCCGATGGCGTAACTCTGACACATGATCAACTAAAGCCTACAATGGCGGCCATCTTGGATGACAAAGTCAGGTACTTCCACCAACGTGGCCAATGCCTTAAAAACAACAGAGTTCGGATGCACTGGGCCCGGAATCATCTCCAGCCGACCGTGGTAAGTTTAACTGTCTTGCATCTATTTGGGTGTTACTGGAATCTGACACATGCCATTTAAGTTGAAATCATTCACTCTCAAACCACCGAGTTGTTAGCAATGACGTGTGCATGTTGACTCTACACTTCAGATTAAGGTAACAGATGAGTCCGGCACATATCAGACCAGAGTAGATACCAGTTATGAGTTCGCCTCCTTGTGTGGGCTGCACTTCAAGAACCTGGACTCTTACCCAGTTGCAGTATCTCAAGACAACGTGCTTGGGACACACGTGGAAACAACTCTTCTTAACCTTACCACCCATGGCAATCCTCCGACAATAAAAGGTTAAATTATTCTGTCGTATTTCAGCTTATTTCGCATTCAGTGAAAATGTAATTGTCTTTAAAGATAAAAACGTTTGTACTAAAATTAATTCAAGGATTATCGAACTTGTTATATGATGGGAATACATTATTACTATTTTTCATAGTCCCCATGGATAAGAAAGATGATTTGCAATGTTCAATGTCATGATACAGTTAAAACAATGCCAAGAGATGTGTCAAACCCCACTCTCTTACTCATAACCTAATTGGAAAAACATTTATAGGATTTTCTGCGATGGCTGTGTCTCGGAAAGGAAAGCACATCTTCCTGAACTGGGATGGGCTGTTCGACTCTCCTTGGAAGGATCTTCAATACGAGCTTCACATTGGAACAGTGGTTGGAGGAGCAGACATCTTGGAGGAGGTTCTCACGAAAAATCCTGAAATTACCTTGACCTTGATCTCATCCCATTCCCAACCAGAATCTCTATTTGCAGCTGTGGCCGCAATAGACCCGTGTGGTTATACTGCTCACTATCAGCAAGAAATAACACTTTAAACATGGCCACACATGGATGTATTAAACACATATATGTTAAGTATACACCGGCTTTATGAAACATATATGGAACAAAGATTTCTCTTTTTAAGGATACTTTATATTAATTTTCAATGTTTTTCAACATGTCAAATGAAACATATATTTATAATTGATGATTTAATCACGTGTTACTACACTGTATTCTGCAGCGTGACATGCAAGGCCTAAGCTGTTGGAAATAATGATGCGTAATGATGTACGTTTGTACATGATTAACAGTCATTTTAGATCACTTTGGATATTCACCTTAAACCATCATTCAGTAGTAGCGTCTTTTTGCATTGTTGTTGACGTCTTTTGGTAAAGATAAACAAACTCTACTGTCACGAAGTGTTGATTAAGACGTTCATTGATGCATGTATTTGTTGTATATCAAACAGTGACAATGAAGCACTATTGACTCAAATACATGTTTTTTTCATTTTAGCATTGCCGTGAACACAAATATCACAACTGAAACAATAACTATGTACCGTCTGGCCATATCCTCTTCTGTTCAAAAGAATAATGACCTAGTGTGAATTTACTTATGTTAGCAGTGTACACGATTCGTAGGGGAAACTATTTGCTATAGTCTTCACCTTTTCCTGGGAAACAACATATACTTGTATGTATTAAAGAAAAGCAGTTTACAACCATCCTATGTTAACCAGCCCTACGTGAGTAAGTGAGTGATTGACTGAGTGAGTGAGTGAGCTTTCACCCAAAATTCACGCTGACACATGCTGATATCGTAGCAACACTACACGCAACGTTAACGCAAACCCACGCATTTAGTTATGTCACTGGTAAGACATAACTATAAAAAACAGTATCCACGCTAGGGTTGCGACTTTATCACATCATGCGTATCAAACGCAGAGCACTGTAGAGTGATGGCACCAGGTTTGAGAGTGATCTTCCCCACATGTTTGAATGATCTTCCCCACGTGTGAGAGTGATCCTCCCCACGTGTGAGAGTGATCCTCCCCACGTGTGAGAGTGATCTTCCCCACGGATTGATCATAATGCAAAGCAAGATGTTCACCTGAACAAACATGAAAACATATTATAGTGGTCACTGTTCAAAGTTCAGAGAGGGAGGACTGAAGACTGGGTGTATGTGTGCACCGTTGTTCATTATGATATGTCAGTAACATTTTGGGGCGTTTGGGTGGCCACGTGCTCGTCACAGATTCCATTCCCGAATTGTTCACAGTGGTATTGTTTGAACATTTCTAATACCAACTTTAATACCGTGAACCATATTCACTCACTCATAATACAGTTGCCATAGTTTCTTCTCACGAAACATCACCAATGTCAGGATCAGTCATCAAAAGTGATCATTTAGCTGTGCAGATTTGCCTCCCTTTAACATCATGATCATAGATTTGTCCTAGTTGACATTGTTGGATTCTCTGAAGTTCCAAACATCTTTGAACGGCAACAAATCCATTGGCCTTGTCTGCTGACAAAGAAATACTTTAAATAATGCAACTGAGGTGAATCTCAAAACAGACGGTGCAGTTCATCGTTGTGTTTTATTTCAAGTTCAGGTTTGTAGATCAGAGGAAGGGCTTACTTTTTTAGTTTAATCAATTTAAATGATGATGATGATTTCATATCCCCATATTTCACACGTCATCTTAAAAAGGTCAGCATCTGTAGTATTGTTCACTCAGTAAGCTTGTCTCAGTGAGATGTCATTTGCTTTCATATTGATGAGATACCATGAACCTTTGACTATTGAAGGTAAGTAAATCTATGAACGTGTTGTAGACATGCATTTAACACATGGAAAAAGAAAATACATTTTGTTCAAATCTAGAGGTACTATTCTGGTTCATTTGGAGAGAGCAATGTCGACCGAGCACATCAGATTAATATATCTTTTGCATTTCCAAGAGACTTGCAAAGTTTTCACAAACACCATATGCCATACAAAATAAGCATGCACATGAGAATGAGTTTGATAATATTTACTCAAATACAGGCCATGTGCAATATGCTATCAAAATAACAATTCCGTCATATTTTATACAGAAATAACATCGTATAATATATGGTGTCATACAAACAAAATATATACAAAAAAATGAGCCATTGTATCAACTAAAATACGAATGAGGTTTTCATCCACCGCCGATGAATACATTTTGTTCAGAAGAAGTTTCCTGTAAATATCTCGTTGCACGAACCTCAGTCTTTACATGTCCTTACTGTTGTAACCATTTGCTATGTTATCATGAGGTTTTAGGTAGGTTTTGATGTCTGATTACACGGATACTAGTATATACTGTATGTAATTATCACGCTTTAAGTAAACAACACACACACAATCGAAACGTTTCAATTTACAATGGTTGGGTATATGAAAATAAACTATAACGAACACACGTGTTACAAGAACACAACTGCTACGGGATATATTTTACTGACGCCAATATGTTTGCACTCTTTAGTTTAGGTTTCGGACGAAAGAACCATAGTAAGTTTCATAAGTGCCAACAGGTGCTTGGGCTGTTATTGTCACGTGAACCTCTGATGTGATGCCAGGGACTTTGACTGTGACGTCGTTGTGACGTGTAGTATACAGATGCATGTAGTCGCTGTAGCCCTTGCTGGAGCCGACGCTGATGGTGTAGGTCAGGTGGTCTTTTCTGGGATAAAACACATCACCATAGAAAACCCTCACACTGCCAGGCCTCCATAGAACTAACGCTTCTCTTCCTGCGTATGTAAACATGATAAAACAATAAGCAATGGGCAAACTGACAACCACTCACTGATTATTCATCCGTAGTGTACGATTCCAGTGTTAATGTTCGTAATGTTTAAGCTACCTAACTTATATACATCCAGAAAAAACCCATTATGTACAGAAAACAACGATCATTAGACAATACACATAAACCTATAACAAACTTCTCAGAGGGGTACACAAAGTCCGCAGTCTAGACTACCAGTCGTCCCACTTCCAATTTTGTGGAAGTCGCGGTGGTTGAGCAGGTTAGGCGTCTGACTTCGTGTGCTGGCGATTACGTGCCTCACTCTGAGGGTGTGGGTTCGAATCCCTGATGGAACACAACCCAAAGAAGTACTAGAATTTGTACTTTACTAAGAAAGAGTAATCCCAAATATAACATACGTTCCATCATATCAGCAATGTTACTATGTGCCTATTTATTACTTTTTGTTGAGTTAGTTAATGTTATATCTTACAGTAGATATCTTACAGTATTCCTTAGGTAAACAGATCAGACAAATGATTCTACTACTCCTTCGGCAGATCATACAGTGAAACAACTCCATGTCTTCACAAAATGGTTCTTAGGACAAGGACGGACTATGGCAAACCAGAATGTATATTGTGTGTCATGGAGTATTGTATCGCATTTTCTTCAGACAAGAGGTGAAAAGCATTTTACATCGCATGTCCAAGTAAATTCAATAATATGAATCTATCACGTGGCAAGACGGCAACACTCCTCATGACAGTTCCACTGTACCTGTAAGTACTGGCGCTGTGCTGTCTACTGTGACAGATGCTGATACTGCTTCACTGACTTGCTGCCTCATGTTTACTGCATGAACCACGGCTGTGTAGCTTTCCCCGTCCTTCAGGCGCAAGCCTGACATTTCACAGTATCTCAGGGTGGTGTTCATCCATACATCCATGTCTTTTACTCGACATAGGTAGTGACTGACGGTGTCCTGGTCTGGCCAAGTCCACTGAAATGCGAGAGAGGACATGATAGACTGGGGGACGTCTTTCCCATGCTGGCTGTACCTGTTCTGCACCACTAATTCTACCACACTACCAGCAGCGGATGGTGGCCTGATGAGAATTTGTAGCTCGTTTGAAGAGACGAGAGTGTCCAATTCTACGTTGTTAGTGCACTGTATAGTCATGTACAGCCTGACCCCATGGGATGGGTGTGGGACCGTTATCTGACATGATGTACCGCTCTCGGAGGTAACCCAGCTTTGGAGATCAGATGACAGCCTCATGTGACCTGTAAACATAAATATGATATTTAACAATACGTTCCCGGGATATATATAAGTCAGAAACATCATGGATAATGATAACACCGTGCCTTTTAGAAGATGGTCAAATGTAACATAGGTTATATTTGGGATTACGCTTTCTTAGTAAAGTACAGATTCTAGTACTTTTATTGGGTTGAGTCCCATCCGGGATTCGATCCCACACCCACAGAGTCCGGCACCTAATGGCCAGCCCACAAACAAACTCAGCCGCCTAACCCGCTAAGCCACTGCAAGTTCCACAAAAATGGATGGGACTCAACCCAACAAAAGTACCAGAATCTGTACTTTACTAAGAAAGTGTAATCGCAAATATAACACATGTTACATCATGGATAATGTTAGCATGGGTATGTTGATCGTTGGTATATATTACAACAAATACTTACCAAGAGCACACCAGCATGTAGAGATTTCCGATTCCTCGTCTTCAGCTGACCAGGATCCAGATACGTGTACTATTTGAGAAGGTTTGCTACCAGAATAGACCAGGTAGGCATTTACATCTGATATTGTGGGTGGAGTGTGGTCGAGTACAATCGGTTTAGAAAGATAATGCGTCCTCAGTCCAGCACCATTCTCAGCGATGACTGTTGTGTAAACTGGCGTCCCATGGGGGACAGTCACCTCCACCAACTGGTGGAAGCCAGCTTCTGCATGGCGAAGGGGCTGAAGCTGAAAACCTCCTGGTGTTGTACCAACTCCAATCTGTATGTTCATCAAACCACTTTCTGGGTCCATCATCCTGGTACAGATACCTAGTAGGGAGGACGTCAGTTGTCGTGCTGTTATAGCATCTGATCCATGTGTTCTCTGTCTGTCTGTGCATTCCTCTATTTCTATATCTGCACCCTGGAACGATCCTTTACTCTGAATTGTGATTTCTAAAAGAACTGAGACTAACACAGTTTCTGCATCAAGTGTAAACTGGTATTCCGCACAGTGCAATGTATGGTTGTATCTCAGGACAAATGGGATCTGGATGTGGATGCCACCCACTGCAAACTCAGCCTCTTCATGATCCAGATGATCCCGCTGAATGCAAACCTTCACGCGATAATGTGACCCGGTATCTCGAGGTAAATCAAGCTTGAATACGTTCAAGGAACCAGATCCAAAATCAGCTTCCTCATAGGTCATGTTAGTGATGGAGATATTTGTGAATTTCTTACACACAAATCCATATGGAGGGGTAACATCAACTAACACGGGAAGGGATGTCACTTCGTCACTGAGATGTCCTGCAAAGTCCTCTGCCAATACAGACACTGTGTAATATTGTCCATGTTCTAGGTTCAAGTCATCAAAGAGAACTGAGTTCCTGAGTGTCACCGTGGTGTTAGTAACAGTATGTGATGAGTTGTCTTCCCTCAGGTAAACATGATATTGCTTCACACTGGAGTGGTGATCCTGGAATCCGTGCCATGAGACACCAAAGGATGTGTTATCAGACTGAGTCAATCTACTTTGATGACGTTCAGTGTTGAACACATTTCCACCAACTGGAATGTCTGCATCTATCACAAAGCCATCTGAGATGACGGTAGCAGACATGTTCAAGGAGTTGATGGCACGAATGCCAACATAATACTTGGTACCATGAGTCATATTTACCACTGGTAGGGAGATGTTTGTAGTCAGTCCTGCACTCTGATATGGCAAGAGGTCTGAACCTGGAAAAAAATAACACATTATAATATCATGATGTGGCATGAACACAAATATGATCCTGTGAATCTATAATCGAATATGTATCCAAATTTATGATCTTGTATATCCAAAACGAGCATATTTATATTGTCATAGCGACTGATTCAGGACAGTCATCGTTCAAATGTTCCCAAAGGCCATAATCTAAGCAGCTAGGACATGTGAGACTTAATTGTAATTATTCATATGACGCTAAGCTGCATTCTTAATGCTTATTATTCTGCATGTCAGTCAACCTGTACCACTCTATCGCTTTCGTTAATTACTCTGCACGACATTTAAAGTCTTAATTGGTCATCCCCTCTGCCATCACATCAACTGGCCAAGGCAATGTTATTGTTTCATTAGCTGTTCATTGTCAAGTCTTCGTCTGTCCATTGTTGTCTATGACTATATATATGTTCATATCTACACTGTCACCAGTCCGGTGTTCCGACTGCCAGTGTAGGGACGACCGCAACAGCATAATGCCGCTCGTAGGAAACGCCCTGAGCTTGAGCTGGAACTCCGCTCACCGGCAACCAAGCTCATGGCTGTCTTGTGTATTTTTGAGTCATGTACTGTATAACCAACTAAAAATGTTTGGACTCAACATATTCTTTTGTCTTCGTCAACGTATTGTTCGTCTCAATTCTGGCCTAATTCCCTTATACGCGTTGACAATGTCAATTGAATGCTGAGATGAATCACTTACCATATTTTGTAACACCAGCCCAGACTATGTATTCTTCAATGCTTGTCTGTGTTTCCTGAAACAGTCCTTGCCAACAGGCAGTTATGTCAGTCTGATTGCTGTCGAAGACGTCAAAGTCTCGGCTGCATGTTGAATCTGAATCCTTTACTGCTCTACCTCTTCTCACAGAAGGGGGTGTATGGTCGACTCTTATACTTGGGGATGTGAAGACTCTGTATTCAGAATCTGAGTACCAGGCTCTGATGTTGATAACATAGTCGTCTCCGTGTTCTAGGGCTCGGCCATATGGCAGACAGTGGACTATCTCAGTCCTCCTTCCTACATCATACCAGAAACTTTCTTCACTAGTTTTAAATATTCCAGCCCCAAAAGGCTCGTTTAGAAGCCCCATGCACCACTCATATCGCTGCATTGCGTAAGTTGTATCCATCTCCCAATATCCAGCAATACAAGACAGAGAAGGTGTAATGTACAGGCCGGATTGGTTACGGGCTCTTGGATGTATTTGGACATCCACAAGCCTGTGTGAGTGACATTTGACATATCACGACAGGTAACGGGCGTGGAAGGTGGATTACACTTCCGCCCAACCACTGCACATGTGCAATCATCAGTACAGTAGTGAGTGTCACAGGAGTGACGCTGTAGTTCTAGTGTTCCCTCACGTCTCTTCTTGTAATCTGTTGCTACAATTGAGACGGTAACTTTACCAACATGACTCAGAAGATGTGCGTCATTCTCAGCCCAAATAGATAAAATGATTTCCCCTCCACCAAGAGTCTGTGTTAGCTGGATTGTGCTTGACTGTTCCTTCACAGATGGGTCATGGCTGACTGTAACCGTACCATTTGTTAGTTCGCCACCTTCATACGACGTTCCAACATTTAGGTGATAGCAGGAAATGTTTGATTCTGCATCTGAAAACCCATACCAGGTAAGATTGACAAATGTTAGTTCAGATCCATTGACACTGATAGTTTGCCACGTTAATGGTGGCTTAAAGCCTCCCACTATTGGAGAAGTAGAATCAATCAGAATGTTGTTGCTGTGTGACGTTGTACACAAGCCTGCACGGTTGCAGGAAGTCACCGACAGTTGGTATTTGTCTCCATTCCTAAGTCGCTTTTCCTTCGGCAAAATCAGTAAATACGAGTTCTGTGGTCCTAAGGTAATCTGTTCTACTGCTACTGCTGACTCGTGGTGAGTTTTAAAGCTAAGTATGTGCTCATGTATTGGACTCCCATTATCAACAAACTTCCACCGTGAATACAGGACACTGTTATCCCACTGTATGGTGATGTTTTCGGGACCATCTGGTAATGTTGATATGAACACTGGTCTATCGACAACTTCAGGTGCAGTGTCGTCAACTTCAAAACTGGGGGAGACGGCTTCAACAAACAGACCTACAGGGTTGTATGCTCGTACTGTCACAAACAGAGGAACAGACAGTGGTAGGTGCAGCCCACTTGCCAAGTAAGAATCGGAGAGGGCAGTGTTGGTGAAATTCATTGTGTCACAAGACCCCGATCTCTGTCCAATACAGCACTCAAAATGGTGGATTCCTGTCTCAGCATCCTCAAAACCAACCCATTTACTGTGGACATATGATCTGTAATGGACAAATGATAAATGCATAAACGTTCATTAACAATGTAAATAGGTGCATTGGCGTTATGTATGCCACTCATAACTGCCCCTGTGCATAAACTCCATATTTATGTTAACTAATATGGTTAAGCAATGAACAGTCTTCGTATTACTTGCAAATGTAAAAAAACCGTGAAAAATACGGACATATGCTAATGTGGATAAACAGCTGAGAAAAATATATATTGCTTGCTCAGCTAACATTGTTTTAGAAATAATTCACCTGTGACCGTGATATTTGTTATGAGTGTCTGTGTGACCAACAGTAACAACACCAGCTGCAGGAGCGGATCCATCCATAACGACGCCATCAGAAGATGTAGTGACACAGAGCCCTGCATTATTACATGCCTCGACTGTACTGTAGTACTTCACTCCAGGGATGAAGGCATGTGTCCAGGTATGATCTGAAACATACACACACACATACACACACATTAAACATATGATGTGTAGGAGAAATAATGTAGCCCAGTTATGAAACATATTGAAAGCCATTAAAAATGCAATTTGACATTCATACTTTCTTTACTCACACTAATTTCAACATATAGAAACCTAACTGGCAGATATGTTTTTAGTGAACATCTGCGAATAATTTCATCTGAAAATGTCCAGTCAACAACAGCATCAGTGACGCAACAACGACATCACACAAAGGAGGGGTCACTTGCAGTCAATATCGTGTGTGTCAACCGTGCGCTGCAAGACATGCTCGCAGTCTTTGGGGCATTGAAAGGGGCACACACATTTCTCAGGAACAGCTGTTGGATGGTCTGCAGCCACTGATGGCCTGTGGTCTGATCATGACACCACCCCCTCCAAAACGATCATGTTCAAGGACACAGTTTGGCGCAAGTCTTTCTCCTTTACGTCGATAAATCTGTTGACGTCCATCTGCAAAGGATAAGTTAAACCTGGATTCATCTGAAAAAATGACATCTGGCCATGTCCTGTTGCCAAGATTGGCCCCATTTGCTGCCGATCGCTGTCTGGCATGTCTGTGGCGATGCAATAAGGTTGGACCACGGTACGGGTGACGACACCAGATGTTGAAGGCAGCAAGGCGTCCTTGCACCTTTTGGGCGCTGAAATGACGTTGACTTGTCCCAATTGTCCTCCTTGCCTAATCATCAGCTGTTTGGAACCGAATTCGCAAGTGTGAAACTCGGATATTGCGGTTTTGTCGAGCTGTTATCACAGGTGGTGCACCAGGTCGCGGACGATAAGCAACACTTCCGGTAGCCCGAAAACGTTGTCTGAGTCGACTTACAGTGGATGGATGCACATTAAAGTGCCTGGCAATCATCACATCTGAAGCACCTCGGCTGACCATACCGATAACCTGATTCCTTTCCTCTTGTGTCAAGTGTGGCATTTTCTCAAAGTGATTGAGTTCCACAATTCCTTGTGCTTTTACAGGGCCTGGGTGCAGGTAATGCATGTGCACAACGTGTTTCATGAATGTGGTTGTGTTTACGAGAAATGTCAAAGATTCAGTTTTAAGTATCAAAGTTCGTGTGAGAGGAATGCTCCGGGACTCGAACTCGAAATGGGCCAGAATAACAGCCTTTTATCCCTACACCCTCTGTATGGCAGGAAAAAATCTTCAATAGAACTTTTGTTAGTTTCAGGACAACAAATACCAATTGCGTTTTTAATGGCTTTCAGTATAGTTCTATCGTCACACGGAATTCTTGGGTTCCATTCCCCAAAAGAGTACAATGTGTGATGCTGATTTCCGGTGCCCCAGTGGTTAGTTTGCTGTAATGTTGATAAGACGAGCTCACTGACCCATTGCATGTCATTAGTGAGTGAGTGAGTTAAGATTTTAAGTCACATCGGCAGTATTTCATGCATATCGTGACTTAATCAAGTCACAGATTTATAATAATTAAAGGTAAATTATAAAAGCCTGTCAACGAAGGACAGTGAAACAACTAGACTATCACAGATGTGAATCTAAAACTAGTGAATGAGTTTAGTTTTACGCCGCACTCAGCAATATTCCAGCTATATGGCGGCGGTCTGTATCTAAAAATAGTAATTACATCTAAAACATTTTAACTATAGATGACAAAACAATATAAAAACAGGGTACAAATTGCCAACAACTGAAGGTAGATCACCGTACTAGGGACCATGGGGACTGACAGTAGATTTGCTTCCTGCATGGACCCCAGCTGGATGTGTCATTAGTGGTTACATGCAGCTTAACGTTATGTGAATGTCCTTAGTTAACTCTCAAATAGTTCTTTAGTTACTTGTCCGCAGTCCAACAGACAAGAGAGGGTTGACATCCCAAACGCCTGGTGAAGTCCCAAGTCCTATTCTGTAGTCCTGTATCCCAGAGTGTGGGTCGTGAAACCCAGTCCAGTGGCAACCTAAACCAGTTGTGCTGCTTTGATAATCCACCTCATCCTTATGTAAAAGACAAATAATCAATTTTATTAAACTATATATACTTTTCATAACAATGTCGGATTCAAAGACTAATCATCAAGAACCCAATCCAAAACCACAAAAAAAATAAAACAAAAAGCAAAATATAATTATATTGAATAACTGCATGGTAGTGACGATAAATCTTCGTTACTGAACATATTCCACAAAGGACCCAAACAGCAAGTCGTGAAATGCGTGCCGTAAGCACCTCGTCAATTGGCATTGGAGATGGGTTATAATTATATCTAATTTTTACAGTCTCAAACGCCCCTTACCTTAATGAGAATAGAACCATCTCGAACAATACCAGCATATGGTTGGGAGTTGTCAATAATGAATGACTTGGATTTGCACAGAGACCAAAGCAGGGCCTTGTTGGTGGCCTAGAATTCAAAGGATGAGAAATATATACTACACGCAAAGAGTATGGGAACTCCCGAAAATTTGATAATCATATATAAACTTAATCGTGGTGAGGTCATTCATACTCTAAGGTAAGTGCAACTTTTTGTGTGCTTAATGCGCACTTTAAACGACATGTTAGAACATGTAGTGAACCAACTGATTCAATATTCGTTGGGTTTGAGTGAAATGAAACATTGTCAAAAACAGCGAAAAACAAGGGTGCTGAAACACACCAGCACCATGGTTGATTGAAACGCCCAAACACAACGGCCTAATACGCGTGGAAGACAGACTTCCCATGGAACTTGTGGCAACTAGGCACTGGCAGTTGTGAATCGGTTCCGAAGGGCTTGGGGCACAACATATCGGTCATCTGCCCTTGATGTTTTTCTGGTTCTTCCAGAGCGAGATCTGTCTTGTACTCTACCAGTGGCTTTGAACCTGTTCCTCAGTTTGTGAATGACAGAAGGAGACACCTGAGGACGGAGACCAACACTTCTTATGGAGTCACCATCCTGTAACCATGCAATGGTCCTGCTTCTGTCATGGGTCCTGCTTCAGTCTGCGCTGTGGCAGGGTGAAGAAGTTGTGAGGCTTCAATACTGTCTGAAGTCTCTTTTAAAGGAAACATTGCCACAAGCTGCATGGGAGGTCTGTCTTCCACATGCACTAGGCTGATGTGTCTGGGCGTTTGAATCAAACAAGGTGCTGGTGTGTTTCAGCACCCTTGTTTTTTTGCTGTTTTTTACAATGTTTCATTTCACTCAAACTCAACGAATATTGAATCAGTTGGTTCACTATATATTCTAACATGTTGCTAAAATCCCTATTAAGCACACAAAAAGTTGCATTTACCTTAGTGTATAAATGACCTCAACACGTTTAAGTTTATATATGACTATCAAATGACCAAAGTGTTCCCATATTTTTTGTTTGTAGTATCTTTGTAACTGTGTAACAACAACGTATGCGTTACATCAAACACAACAATTATGGCTTATTTAATTCTTCCTAGTGTTTACCTGAATTCTGATTTGATAGGCATGCCATCCAATAAATGTATCATCGATTGGAATAGTTGTAGATTTCGTTTCTGTTCCAAAACGTAAAGGTGACGCTTCTTTGTTGACGGATGTGAAAATATTCAGATGGTAGGACTCGATGCCACTTTCGGGGTCGTGGATATCCTTCCACTGGATGCGAAGTGTCTTTGTCCTCAAAACCTTCTTATGCGGGTACAGCCCTTCAACCTGAATCTCACCACATGCAGGAGGAGTAAGATCGCCTACTACTTCAGGAGAAATACTCTCTGTCGTATGACCAACATGATCTTCAGCTGAAAAATATCAAACTGGCTCAAGGAATTTTCTGTGTACACAAGTAAAAACAATGTTCTTTTAAAATATCGCTGATCCGATAGGGTTATGCATTACCATCACTGAGCTGAATTTTTTTTTTTTACTGTTGGCTTATTTTCGTTGTTATCGACACAGTTTGATAGTAAGTCAATAACATATTTTACTGATATAGTCGAAAGTGACTCATGTGGTTATGAAAATAATTTTGCTGGTTTTGTTTCCTCCAGTTTAATCACCTTTGATGACGACATAGTACACTTCACCAGTCTTGATGGAAAGCCCCTCAGCTTGAAAGGATGTGCGTTCACCAATCTTTTTCCATGCCATGACATTTTGACCATGAGGATAGTTCCCTTCAAACATAAGGTTGAAATGTACTGTACAAGAGAAACCATGTGTAAACAACAAGAGAACAGAACTTTGTTATATTATGTGCTATATTCTCTCTCAGATCAGATATGAAATCATGGATGTTCAAAATATTTGAACAGCCTCATACCGATAGCAATGGAGTATGACTTGATTGCGTTGGCATATGCAACTCCATGTGGCTGCTTGTCAGAGAACCCAGACCATGTAATGACCATCCTTGAGGGATCGGTGATGTAGCCAGACACTGTGTTAGTTACACTGACGGAACCTCCAACAGGGGGAGTCTTGTCCACCACAAATCCATTTCCGCAAATGGTGAAGGACAATAGTTCCTTTTCTGTATTTTCACTGACATTGGCACATATGTAATATGATTCGGAATCATCAAAGTCAATCCTACCAAACCTGACAAATCCAGTTTGTGTAAATTTCCATGTCAAACAAGATATATCAGAGACACAGTCATACACTGGAACCTGTTGGATTCCCCTCATGATGAACCAAGTGACGCTGCGGCCAGCTGTATTGGTGATGACAGCACTTACTCTACTGCTGCTGTTGATGAAGTCAACATCCAGCTCATGTAGTAGCTTTAGTCTTGTGCCAAGTCGTTCACTGTGGAGAATGTCTTCAATATTGGCAATTCGCTGATCATCTGCAGGTAGCTCAAATAGTGCATGCTCACTATACGACGTAGCGTATGGGTTCAATGTCAACTCAGAACATTTGGAACCAAACTGCCCAGATGGACAGAAGACTCGTACACATGTGAACAGTTTTTGATAGGAGTGGATCGGTAGCTTCAGGCATCTAGAGGTCTGAAATCAGAACGTATTCAACAATTCAATATTTGCTGTGCTAAGAAAATATGACTTACGATATGTTGCACCTGGATATTAAATATGAAGTTATGTCAAGTGGTTCATTGATATACATCGTACACTGTTTTGTTAGTAACTATATTTGTAAGTGAGTGAGTGACTAAATATTTAACGTCAAATCGGCAATATCTCAGCCATATCGTGACGAAAACAATTTATACAATAGAGATGAAAACAGTCTGAAGATGAAAACGTTCTGAAGAGTAAAACCTGTCAACGATGGACAGTTAAAACACTAGAGTATCACAGACATGAACATAAAAGTAGCATGTAAAACTAAAACATGTTAATTAAAGAAGACAATACAATATAAAACACATGCTATAGATCGCCATAAGCTGAAGGTAGATCACCATACCAGGGACCATGGGGACTTACAGTCCCCGTGCTACTTACATGGACCCTAGCTGGATCAGTAGTTATACTACTGATCTCACCAAACACACCACCAACATATTCACCTTGACATTGCAAGTTCCAGAATCTTCTTGCACCCACGTTGTAACCGGGCTGACATCTGATTCGGACTTGACGATTGCCCATTGAATGATGCAGCTCCCAGATATCTTTAAGGACTCTCCACAGTCAATACTTTCTACTTCAACAGATATGTTTGTACAGTCTCCAGTTTCATCTAGTACGACAGAAACGATATTCAAAATCTCTGGAATTTCAGACACTATCAAACCATTAGACAACTCTCCTGTCATACAAATGTGTCCATAGCAAGGCGATATAGAAGCCAAATAATGGTGTTCAGTTTTTAAATTTAGATTTTTTATACAATGTGCTGTACCTCTTCCTGCTTTAACCGTTGTCTCGCTAATGATTCTGAAACAGGTTTCATTGTTGTCATTACATGTCCTTTCCAGTAACTGGAGATGGTAATTGGTGGCAAAACTCGTGTATTCACTATTACCCTCCCAATGTAGTGTGTAGGATGTCGTTGAAACCTGATAGTCAACATCTTGAACACATCTGTACACTTCAATGTTGTAACTACTACCTTTTACGAACCTTAATTGGAAATTTGGATTTGTTGTAAGAGGAAAAAACTCTACATGGTAAGTTGAATTATCTACCATGTTGCTTCCAGTGGTGAATACATCATCTGAGAGAAATGAGAAGCCTTCAAAGGTTGTGATGTTTCTGACTACAGCACTGTAGTGGTGCCCAAGATGCAGTGGATTGTCGAATGTAACGTTAACGCTCATACTGTGGGAAAGGTTATGTAAATCAAGAAAGTTAACCAGTCTTTCATCATTTAATTCACACGTTGGGCCATCATAGACAGAAATGGAATGAGGAACATCTGCCACAATCATAAAGCCATCTGACGACGAAACAGTGTCTCCACCCGAACACTTCGCCCGAATAGATGTAAAGTACTTGACAAACGTCGAGAGAGTGGGTGACTTGATACAAGCTGTTTGTATATCCGTCCCAGTCACACCAGTAAACGTTGCTACGTCATCCATACCTGCTGTTGACCCGATGCCTATCTCAAAGGTGACGTTTCTGTGATGTTTGAATCCAGACCAGTGGGCACAAGCTGAATACTGACGGTGGAAGTCAACATCTGTCAAGGAGTTGACATCTGAAGGATCTACATCTTCGACCAGAGCTGGACCAGGAGGGAATAGTGAGGGAAGACGGATTGACTCTGTTCTAACAGTAGTAAAGTGGCCGGCTGAATTGTAAACATACAACTCAAAGAGACATCGTTTTCCAAGTTCTGAGTCCTGACGCTGCAGAAGGACCATTGGATACTGGATGCAGCCAGCATGTCCCTCAGCTTTGCACATCTCACTTGCCCCAGAAGGAGTCTGCAGTATTGGTGTAACATAGTCTTCGTCCATAACTGTAACACATTATATATCAGCCATACAACATAGCACATGCATCATGAATTGTTACTTCCTACACACCATTCAAACTCGCCTTGGCTGAATAAAGTACTTAATGTGTTGTGAGTTTTGATCAGACATTCTAAAACATACACATATGGTACATATAGTACCTTTCAATTAAGATGATCTGAGTTAGTGCTTTTAATAAATCGTGCCTTTAAAAAAATAATTATGTTAATTGTTTTCAAAATTGAAACAAAATGAACAAATATGAGCCACATTAATTTATTGAAGGTCGTGCTTAAGCTTCAGGTGCATGCCTCTGGAACGTGTCAGATTAAAGACAGCGTTAATGGACTGATCACAAATTGCTAACAAACGTAATGCTGTGTCTATGTTGGAGGCAAACGTAATGTTGTGTCCATGTTTGAGGTTAAACAATAGTGATGAAGGGAAAACTATGCCAACATATACATTCAAAAGATATGTGTTCAACATGACTTACCCGCCCGGTAAGTGACTGTGAACTGCTGATGTACTTCTTCAGGGTCTGAGAATGTGTGGTTGGTCCAGGTGACTCTGATATGATCCCCAAATATCTCTGGAACTAGTGTCCCGTGAACCTCTGGGGGAGTGTCATCTATCATCACAGGACCAAGGGTTGCCACTGATGAGACGCCAGCCTTGTTCTCTGTCTTGATGAATATGTAAAACTCTGTCCTACTATCAAAACCAGTTTCATGAATGTGGAAACTCGTCTTCCTATGGGTAGATTTATAATTGGCTAGATCTGGCTTGTTATATGTTGACGCATCATACCCAAACCCGACGAAGGAATCGCGAATTTGGCTTTCGTTTTCACTTAGACTCCAGTTTAGAACAACTTTGTGAAACGGCACATAAATGACAGTCTCATTCAGATACGGTAGATCCCTACACAGGCTATCAGCTGTCTCGTTGTCTATGTAACTTCCATATACTATTGGAAAACGCAGATTCATGTCGGGGTTGTTAAGACATCGTTCCTGACACAACTGCATCATTGGAAGCCTAGCCATTGTCATATTGGAGTTGATTAACCATGGTTGATCAAATATGCATTGGAGACTAGATAAAGAAGATGCCTGGAGGAGGGTAATGTTTTCTATGATTGGTGGGGAGAGATCAAATGTAATACCATCTGAGCAGATAACATCAGAAGGCTCTAGAGCATTGTTCACAGCAACAAGTGAAGTAAAGTACCTGCCTTCTTTAGGGAAAACTAGTGATACACTTTCTGTTGCTGCTTTTCGAATGATGATATCGCTCGAATGTGTTTGCTTCAGTTCACCAATACTTAGACAATTGTCTGCTAAGCCTAAGATGTAATATCTGATACCACTCTCATGGTCAATAAAACCTCGCCAGCTGATCAGTACATGCCCTTCACTGGTGTAATCGATGTCTGGACCATCGATGCTCCCTTCTTGAACGATGCCAACAACAGGAGGAGACTCATCAACCAGAACATCCAGGTGAACAAAACTCTTCAGCATGGCCCCATTAGTTATGAAGAGGGTGAAGTAATACTCTCTGTTGTGTTGACCCGTGTTCATATTATTGGCTTTAAGAGTAGTACTGCCTAAGTCCAGTGTGTAATTCCGGAATTCACAAGGCCCAACGGACGGACAGTAACAATCTGGTCCTCGTGGACACCTAACCTGGAAATCAAAGGAAGATTTGTTTAAACGTGATACCTGTAGGACATATAAATTATGTCGGATATGCTGAGGCTATTTTGATCCCAGGGAATTTCGCTAACTACAACCCTTCAAACCATTTCATTACCAACTCTAGTCAAATAGAGTCAGCAAGAAATGAATTTACCTTCAAGTTAAACACTTTGTTTTTGGAAGAAATGGGAAAACAGGAATTCGCGCAATGGATTACCTTCCATATGTGTGGAGGCAGTTATCCCAGAGGTGAACAAATCAGTTTGTCCTGGGCCCCGTTTCACAAAGCTCTCGTAAGCCTTAGATCTCGTAACTTTCCTCGTAGCATCCCTACCTCCTATACTGTAACATTAACGTACGATAATCGTAGTCCCATGTGTCACTGCCTGAGTTCAAATCTACAATCACTGGGTTAACACAGCCCTTTTGCAAACCATCCATGTTTTGAGAACGCCCCCGATTTAACTGCAATGCCATCAACAGGCTCTGAAATAGTGGCATGGGAGATAACTGTTTGCAGAGTTATTTTGCAGATCTTGGTTGCATTAATTGTTCTTTTGGTGAAACAATAAATTGAAATAAAGGGTCTTTTTCGCTTTGCCTCGCGCTTGAAAAAGTTGCAAAACTCCTTTGATTATTTGCCACGCATCTTTAGACAACATCGTTTTACCTGAGCACTTCTACCTATATGCTGACAATCGATGATATCACTTGAGCGCTCTAAATGTAAAAACCCGTGCATGTACATTTTCACGCTGACACACATTTTACAATGTTGTTGGCTTTTCCATCACGTGCGTTAACCCCCTCGTAAAACTATCCACAGTTTGACAATTATTATAAAATAGGTTTGAAGGCAAAACGTTTAATAATCGTTTTAAAATTGCTCAACTCAATATCTTGTTAGGCCACAGGATACAATTGCCATATGAACAGAGTAATGTTTTATTATCCCCGCAACGCGTTTTGGGGGTGGGGGTTTGGGGTGGGGGTGGTGGTGTTAAAATGGACTCGGTCTGTGCGTCCGTCCGTCCGTCCGTCCGTCCGTCCGTGCACATTTGTCTTTTCCGGAGCAGAACTCTAAAACCGTTCAATATTTCTTCACCAAACTTGGCACATAGATTGGTCTGGTGGTGTACTGGGTCCTTTTTGGTAGTTTTCTGAATTCTGAATAAAATATTTTTGGCGTTTCCATGGCAACAAGTTTGACATAGACTAAAATTGGTTGTAGTGCTCCTTTCTGGAGCAGAACTTTAAAAACCTTTCAATACTCTCCATCCACTTTTCTATATACACACCTTAATATTTGACATAATCATAACTCGTAGACATAATCATGAAGAGTATTTTGCCATTGCGGGGGCATATTGATGACTTTGTCTTCTTGTTATAAATGCATTTAGGGTAATGTTCATAGCTGGACCAAAATGTTTGCCCGTTTACATCAACACATCTAATCTTTCTGGGTAAGAACACGCATGCAATAACCAAATAAGGCAATGCTATTTTTGTTCTCTGAATCAAACTTAAGATTGGGATTGTTTCCAAATTCAACCACAAATGTGCATTACCAGAGCATCGAGTTTCCTGGCAGGAAGTGCACCGTTCCCGAGATCTGAGGCCGCATCAGTTGTTCCAAGCGCCCACAGCACAGATGTGATCCCACTGTGGACATCCCACGCTCGAAACTGAAGAACCATCGTAGAGAGATCTGTGTTGTTGTGAACATATACCTGACTCGTTCCATCTCTAACAAGCCAGGTATCAGCGATATCAGCCACACTCCTGTCTATGTGCACAACTAATGACTCCACAATTGTGTTCATCATTATGTCCTGGGCTTCAATCCAGACTTCATATGTTTCACCATCCGTCAGATTCAGACCGAGGCTCAGAGATTGGTTGGTAAAATCTGGAACTGATTCCCATGACGTTTTTTGAACCATTGTTGAGACTCCATTGGTACTTGAAACTTGTGATGCCATTGATACTCACAGTACCGGTGACAGGTAAAATGCCCGTCACTTGATCATATACACCTGATATACCATTGTCTGTGTCTCGTTTCACTTGGCAAAAATAGTCATTCATTATGTAATGATCATTATGATAACGTTCCTTCCAGTCTAACTGAATGTCCCCATGGTGAATTTGCCAAGTATATTTCGTGTCCTTTGACGCAGATATGACCCTCAATACTCGAGATGTCCTAACCTCGAGTATAGATGAATTATCGTACAAAAGAAAACGTCGTACAAATCTGACATTTCCAGCAACATCGTGGACTTCCACATATGTTACATACATGGCAGGCTCTGATGGGAGTGAGACTGTGATGTTCACACTGTTTCCGATCAGCTGGTCTGATTCAAACACATATTTTTTTATAGTCCACATCTAGTGTATCAAGGCCGAGATGTCTCATACCATAAACATCCACCTTATAATACTTTATTCCTGAGGCTTGTTCTAGTTTTCCAGACTTAGGATAGGGATCTACCCAGCCTGACACACCAACAGTGATGTTAGGGGATTTAGTTGTTCTTGTGGATAGGCGCATGGGACTGTCCGAGGAACATGGAAATCTTGAATCTCTTGCACAGTGAACTGGGGCAACATTGTCGTATCTGAAGCAGATGGTCTTGCTTTCGTCAAGGGGGGTGAACCTCTTGTTGCCAAGGTAGTGCCCATGGAAGTTCTTGTAATGAAATGAACCTCCTGAATAGACCTTGATTACTCCACATAACCTGAAAGTGTAGTTTTAAACATGTAAACCCTAATCCCGTGTTTAGTGTTGATTGTGACTTTAAGATTAATTGTAATGTTATCATTTTTCTTTTGTGCTGTCTTGACAAGCGGCATGAATATCTAATTGCCAGAGACAGTTCTTTGTAATAAAGTTAACCAACTCATGAATTCACTCAGCTCATAAATGCACGCTAAAAGTATAATTTATGATTAATTACTTATAACGCAAATGGCTTAATCCTTTAAGTACCAATGAATTTTTGTTTGAAGTTTTGGTATTCAAATGAACCCCCAGAAAAATAACTTAATTAGTTTGCATAACCTGAAAGCATAATTAAGAAATGACACGTATAGTGATGATGATGAATATAAAAGCGTGTGATAGTATCAGTATGTAAGATTTGGCTCCATCACTTGTCCAATAAGTAGACAAATAACGACAAACTGAACAGTGAATAATTATTTCCATTAGAGACTAACGAATTTTAAATGCGTGGAGAGGAACATACTTGGACTTGATCACAGTTACACAAGTTACCATTCTCCATTAACCAGGGAGGATGAACCTCTCAGTACTCCGTCACATGAGACCAGTGTTGAAGGTTTGGACGACGAGAGGGTCCGGCTGCAGTCGCCACCTCCCCTCAACTTGGCGGAAGACAAAATGCGTTCTGAACCTTTAACATGTCAAAACATAGATTGAGCAATTCTTCCCTTCAGTGAGGGGGTGAGTCATGGTTTTACGCTGCATTTAGCAATATTCCAGCAATACGGCAGGGGACACAAGAAACAGGCTTCACGCATTGTATCCATGTGGGAAATCGAACCTGGGTCTTCGGCGTGAGTTCAAATTTAACGTCACATCCGCAATATTTCTGTCATATAGAGACGAGAAACGTTTTGCATAAATAATAAATATAAGTTGTTAAATAAACAGTTATCGAAGGACTGTAAAATAACTAGAGTATCACAGATAGTGTTTAAAACTAATATAAATCTAAAACTATTTCATTTACGAGCACAATACAATTATATAAAAACACACTATAGGTCGCCAACAACTGAAGGTAGATCACCATACTAGAACTCAATTGACTTTGAAAGTTTTGAACTTACGTACCCTCTCAGGAAGACAATGATTTTATTATACGAATCATAAAGGAAATAACATTTTATCTTTTTGTGTGACAACCCATCCTCGATAATCTCCAGGATATACGTTACGATCACTTTCCACTATACCCTGGATGCATCCACGGCTTGGCCCGATGATTATATTACCTCCCTTTGCTGGCTCCGCATTCTCACAGTAGCTAATCAGCTAAGCCGCCATTACATCCGCGCTTGCCAGAGTCAGCAAAGACAGCGGTCGCAGTCGCGAGGGTTTGTTCGCAGTGCCACTCAGATTTTTGAGGAAATACAAATCGACAGATCTGAAACTTTCAAAAAATATATAAAAGAACTCCTTCTAACTCTTTCAGAGTACCTCTGCATCAATTGTGTTGCCAAGTTTAAACGGTTAGATAATTTAAGAAGCGAAAGTGAGTTGTGATTGGTCCGCTCAACTTCCCAGCGTAGACACCTGATTGGATAAAAAGCCAGTCAATGGAGGTAATAAAATCATCGGGCCAAGCCGTGGATGCATCCAGGGTATAGTGAATATTGATCGTAACGTATACCGTGGAGATTATCGAGGATGGTGACAACCTAGTATCATCACTAACTGGAAGTGACTGATAAACACAATGCCATGGTGTTGACGTTTGCTGGGTTTTTGTATTGTTTATGATGTGCACATCTGGTTATATCACTGATTGCTGTCATAGAAAATGCTGAAAAAACATGGTTGAGATTTGGCAGCGTGGCAAGACAGTTACATAAACACAAAACCCGAGGGTGAGAGCATTATTACGGAATGTGTGAGTGGGTTGGTGGTTGAATGAGTGAGTGAGTGATCGTACCCGGGCCTTCGGCAGCAATACGATAGTGAAGTCGATGAATAGCTAATCTGAAAGTGTCGGTATACCTTGCAATTCTACAATAACACAGCATACATTGTTGAGCATGAAAAAATTGGTGTCGCGGGTTTCTACAGTTTATGATGTACACAGGAAACCAATGGTCGTGGGTTCAAAATCACATTCGAGCTGATTATCCAGGTTCCAGGTTTTTAATGACCAGACCTGTTCTCAAGCACCATAGCAGATTGATAAACGTCTACCTAAGTCATTTTATGCTTTCCTACCCCGGCAAGCCTTCACGCCGTGATGTAACCGTTTAAAATGGCGTTAAGCACAATTCACTAACTTTACAATAAATTGGGACTATAGTCCATTCTACCTGAGATGCCTTTTCTTATAACTGACAGGCTGCTGTCCACGATGCCGATATAGGTTGCATGGATGTATACAGGTTGTTTTGAATATCCTTTCCTTTGAAACTGAGCTGTTATTTTAAAGGACATTGACTCAGGTTGTATGTTGATGTATACGTCTCTCTGTGAATAACAGCTTGTGCTCTTGCCAATACGGGTGGTGTTCCTGATCTCACTTCTGTGGTCTTCTATTCCAAGGTTGCAAGTGACCAACTCCGACTTTGTTTTAACTAGAACATAAGGCATTTGAGTGTTTGGGTGTATACAGGCAAACACATGCATGATGCTGTACAAGCGTTTGTTATTGGGATCGTCTTGAAACACTGTCCAGTTGGTTGTTAGTGATCCAGATAAAACTAACAAATTATCATTATTGTTAGAGACGTCAGGAACAACAGTGATAGATATGAAAAACGAGTCATCAAAAGATGAAAAATCCCCCGGCCCCAACAAGTTTGAATGAACAAATGATCATTTGACAGTTTCTTAAAGTTAAACTTGATATTGTTTGGTCTAAATCGTTTTCATGGAAACAGAGAAAATTAAAAAATGACAAAGTCCCCAAATAGCAAAAGGCACCACTTAGAGATCTGTTCTATATATCTGCCACTTTTTGTTGAAAGACATTGAACGATGTTTGAGTTATCCTCCGGAAACAAAGCCTACCCCTCCCTTTAGAGATCAAGTCCAAATCGTTTCCATGAAAACCAAGAAAACTAAAGATGCCAAAACTCTGCAAATAGCAACAGACATCACTTTGGGATCTGTTTGATATATCTGTTTGATATAAGTCCAAATTACAGATTAAATCCAAATTATTATTAAAGAAGGGATTTCTTCATGATCACTGAAAGTATTTGAGACTATCTAGTGAAATCACTACCATGTGGACTAAAGAAGTCTTTTTTTCTAAGGAGATTATGTCATTCCTTAATCCACGAACCTTTACTGATGTACAATGTGTGAAAAGGTGGATTTCTCATTGATAATTGTGCATGTAAAAGCTTGGACTAGACATATGGGTAAGCTGGAGGTTAGTTTCTAGAAAGCTGCCTGTACATATTTCAGAGAGACGTTTCTCTTCAAAGATTACATGTTACTGTGATGAATTCTTCATTTGTGAAACACTCACTGTCACACATGGCGTTCTTTGACTTCCTGAAGCCACTTTCACACGAGCAGGATGTCATTAGACCATTGTAACATCTGCCAGGCCAGCACCACCTGTTGTCCACGTATGAGCAGGTGACTGGAATATAGATAGAGTGATCGAAAGTGATCGGTTGAACACAGTGAATTATAGTAAATATAGATCGTGACATAATTTGAGAATCACATACAGTTCAGTTTCATTATGATTTCTGATGATTTTTTAAATGTAATGATTTTCTTAGCATCATTAAGAAGACCAAGTAGATTAACGTAAATGGCCTCAATGAAACCTAAAACCTTCTTGCTGTAACTCTAGAATAATATATACTACAAACAAAAATGAATCGGTTCCGAAGGGCTTGGAGCACAACATATCGGTCATCTGCCCTTGATGTTTTCTGGGTCTTCCAGAGCGAGGTCTGTCCTGTACTCTACCAGTGACCTGGAACTTGTCCTTCAGTCTTTTAAAGACAGAGGGAGACACCTGGAGACGGAGGGCAACACCATCCTGTAACCATGCAATGGCCCTGCATCTGTCGTGGGCGCTTAACGGTCTGCGCTGTGGCATGGTGAAGTAGTTGTGATGCTTCAATACGGTCCGTAGCCTCTTGTAAAGGAAACGCAGTCACAAGCTGTGTGGGAAGTCTCAAATGACTAAAACTTTCGACCAGTCATTTGACTAAATCGTTTAAGGTAAAAAAATGAAACACAAAAAATGAAGTGAACACTTTATTTATCCAGTTTCAACATAGAGTTTTGCATTACTTCTTTTGACAAGTGAGACTTGAATGACACCGGCTGTTGCACAGAAGATTGTTCTCAAAGCATTTGCATTTCTTTGTCCCACATCTTTGCTACCAACACAGTTACACTTTACGAAACCCTGGCTTCCTGATAAAGACTCGGCTCCAACAGCAGTACGAAGGGATACTGAAGTTTCAGTGTTGACCTCTGATAAAATTAAGAGTTTCTCTGGGCACAAATCGAACTGGTTCCTCGAGAACTTACCTTGGAGGACACAGCAGGGCAGGCGATTGTATACTGTCCGTTGTCACTCGCATTGGTGATCACGCCAAGGATGTTCCTTGCATCACCTCGGCCATGGTCCAATGATGGAATGGCCACATTGTCTTCCACACCCTTATTTCATGACAACTTTACTGCGCTTCACCATCCTCACTGCCTGTTTTCTTATGGAGTCGTGTGCAAATGTCCTATTCCTGCTGATGGTCTCCATCTGATGTTCAATGTCATGTCCAACACTGTCGTCTTCTTTAACAGGGTCAGTCTCAGGGGTCTCAGACTGCTCTGGCTGGGACCTGGTATCTGCTAGTAGGTCATCCTCTGTCTGCAGCTTGTGCAGGATGTCATGAGACAGTGATGTTGATCACAATCCAACCTTGGACTCCATTCCAAAGAGAGCTGGAGACGGGGACTTTTGGATAACTGTTTGGACTGAGGCAAGTTGTTTGAGCTCTGTACTTTTTGTGGGTGTGAACACCTTCTTTAGCTCCTCATACAGCTTCTGTGTGAACGTCTCAGCGATTGAATTACTCATAACTGATGTTCAGATGTGCGAAGCATTGGGAGAATTTTTTTTTTTATAATGTGCTAAATGAAACCAGTAAACTCAAATAAGATCAAAGAAATTAAATCAATTATGATGAAGCCTTTGAGTCAGTATGTGTTAACTTCCGCTTTGTCTATTACTACTGGCTGTTTGTTTAAAGGTCACATGCAACGTAAAACACAACTTTACAGATTCTGATACCTTTCGGTATGGACTTACCGAAAAAAAGCGTCAAAAATGCAAATTCAACTTACAAAGTTGAAAAATAACTCGATGAAAAAACCGCGCGAAATCGGAGTTCAAACGTTTCACTAATTTTCCCCAGACTTTTCTGGGGAATACGGGTTTCAACAGCTGGCTGCGCTCATAGCACATGCGCAGTGAAATAGGTTCGCGCAACTTGGAAGCGGGCTGTCTGGTGAATACTCGGTGAAGGCTTTGGTGTGAGCTAGTTTCATAATGTTTTGTTGATATCTCACAGGCGCGACCTTTTTGTATGTTATGACAGTAAATAAACTGTTTATATAATTTCATTTGTCTATTTCACCACACGTTCTTCTTACCCAGTCACTTTCTCAGTTCGATACTTAAAAGCAATGTCATTATTTAGAGTTGACACGATTTCTAACTGTGATATAGATATGTCGCTGTCACAGACAAAACTCAATGTCTTGTTTTATTGACACCAGTGTGTCTGCCTGCCTGTCTGCTAATGACAATATTCAATACACAACTGCGATCACTGACCACATGCAATTTGAACTTAACACCAATCAGGCTATACACCATAAACAAAACGCATTGATTTATGGCCCGAGTTCGGTCTCTGTCACATTATGTAATTACACAGACAGGCAGGTGTGATACTTGAACACATGACATGTTATGATGTCTGTTGATTACAAAATGTTATACACAAAAAATGAGCATGTATTTACAAAACCCAACTTTCTATATATACACACAATGACCCGTGAAGGCGGCATCTGCTAATGAACCAGCCGTTACACTTGAGTGCACACCCACCCGCTCAGACTGGGTTCGGTATCCCGGCTGCTTCGTTTCGAGGGAGGTAAACCCAAGTACAAAATATTGCACTTTTGATTTGCGATTATACGCTTATAATTATGTTTATTTGTTTTTTTCATCATCAGCAATGCATATTATATGTCATGAAGAAGTGATAATTGTGTTTTAATTATGTTTGATTTATTGGTTGCATGTGACCTTTAAGAGATGATAAGCTCAATCAATAGAAACCATGTGCATCGACCTATCAGTATGTGTTAACTAATTCTTTGTCTATACTTTCTTTGATTTCTACAGAGTGTTGGTTTAAGAGAAACCACGTGCACCATGCGTTTTCTGTGAAAACCCCTATGTTGAGACAACAGACAAAACAAATACCTTGCATTTGATGAATTTACTAAAACTGGCAATCAGTCTAACTGGAACTCTACTTTTTTACCAAATGACTGATTGCTTTAGTAATTTGATCAAATGACTGGTTTGACAGATTGACTGTTACATATATATAAATTTAAGAATATGTGTAATGAAAATCCAATATTATTTAGCAAACAACATAATTTACTGATGGAACGTCTGAAGAACATGTTTATTGTCCTTAGAAACCGATATATCTGTAATGTGTGGTTGTAAAATATCAGTACTCGAAGCTCCATGTGTGTGAATCAAATCCTATCAAATAACTTATTTGTGACCTTGATTCGTAGGATTATGCATATTTTAAAAAAAACTTTCAGGTAGCTCAAATAAATAAACTCACGGTCACATCTCTCCTCGTCTTTACTCAACCACTGCAGGGACATTTCAACTGTACTTCTCATATCTCGACATGAACCTGGAATGCAAAATGCTTCTGTCACAAATACATCATCAAACATGTATCAAAATTGTATGGAAATCAAAAATGGATAAAAATGATATTTTATACTTATCCTGACTCAGATTATTTGCTTCTCTCCCTTTCTTGTCCGAAGTACTGTGGAAACCTATATTTCTATGTTCCCAAGAACAGTGAAGACATCTCACCCGGAGTAATATAAGGTTCGTCACAGAGATACGCCAGAGTATTGATAGATTAGAGCAATGTATCATGAATGGAACAGTTTGTCCCAACTTCGTGCGTCTTGTGCACTCAAATGAGTGGTGTGTGTGTGTGGGGTGGGGGTGGGGTTGGGGTTGGCGGTGTGCGTCGGATGTTACACAAGATACCGACTATCATCTGAAATATACACCTTTTTTGTGGATCAGGTGTATGCATCAGGATCAGGACTATGCATCGTGTGAGCCCATTTGGGATAACCAAACCTCTATTGACATATGATGTTATCTTCATTTCATTTATGTTAATGAAACGTCATCTTAGCACTTACCTACAACATAATTTCCAGTGAAGACAAACATGACATATAATCTGTGATTAAATACAGGTCCTGTCTGTATAATTCAAAAGAGTAAATATTATACGGTTAACATTTTGGCAATAAACATACCTTGCATGACTTGGTTTCAAGTGCTCTCTCTGGAAGACAATCATTACACATTACTTCAATCCATCAGCCATCCATCCATTCGTAAGTACATACTGAATACATAGTCCCCCGTTTCCGCGTTGCAACGGGGGACAATAAAGCAATATAATTCATGCAAGGAAAGTATACACCACATATTCGCACAATACAAAAGAAGACACAAGACAACGTACGTGAACACTTAGTTTTCGCTGAACATAGTTTGAAGATGACGTTGTTTTCGGTTGGTGAATTGCAAGTATCACAGGTCCCACAAGAATGTATCTCACAGTTTTCAATAAAAGGACATCCTGTGACGAAACAAGACATAAATACATTGAATTTACTATAATCAAGGGTTTTATGAAATAATGTATATAGCAGTCAGCTCAGAATAATAAACGATTTAAACAACATTTATTCATTATTAAATGAACGGATTGGTAAACAGGCTATAAGCCTATAAAAATACCTCTCCGAATACAATGCGATGGGAAACATTTCATATACATTCATCATTACAGACAAGAGAACACACCATTTGAGGAGTAAAAGACTTAATGAAAAAGACAGTAGTATAATTAATCAATTAGGTACAAAATCGTTTTGTTAAGGTAAAATAGTCATGTACAGATTTTATAATATTTTCATTGATTCGTCAGAATATGAGTAACTTCCACATAGTACAGATTGAATATTAAAACCATTTATGTAACAGAAACACTTCGATCGAATTGTATTAAAATTTGGACAGATATATAGAAAATGAATGGCATCTTCATAATGATGGCCGCAAGTGCAAGTAGACGTATTTTGAAGAAAACGGTCAAATGTATGTGCGTTTATGTCAGTACAGCCAAGTCTTAACTTACAATGAATTATTTGATTAAATCTATTACCAGTGTTTCTGAAGACATGATGTACGTTGGATGAGACAGTCGATCAAAGTGTTTCTTGAACTTGGCAACGGAATTTATGTTTCTTATATCATTTTCTAACTTGTTCCTCTCCATGTTTCCGTACGACATAATGGTACTTGAAACATATTACTAGATCTAGAACCATATGTGGATACAGAGGATATGTTTATTGGAATTAGATCTGATAAATACTTTGGAGTTTTATTATGGAGCATTTTATGAAATACATACATTTGGTGATTTTTACGACGTTCCCTTAATGATGAAAAACCAGTTTCATGGTAGATTTTGGAATGACAAACTCCTCTAACTGATCCACATATGGTTCTTAAAGCAAACTTAGTGAAGTTTTTCTAACAATAACTCTTGAGTTTGTGTACAGTTGTTCCAAATATAATCACAGTAGTCAAAAAGTGGTAAAACAAATGGACTATACAGGGTTTGGAGGGGTTTCCTCTGAAGGCAGTATTTCAGACTTCTTAAACAATTGATCATAGGACTGACTTTAGAAACAATATCATCTATATGTATATTCCAGTGGCCCCAGATGTCTATGAGTGTCGACAGACTTTATCGGTATATTATTCATTATAAGATCTGGCATTGATGTTACTGTTTTCTTTCTAGAAAAAATGATATATTCAGTTTTATTGGGATTAAAGTTTACTTTCCATGTCTGGGCCCAATTAGCTATTATTTCTAAATGATCGTTTAACATATTGGAAGATAACATAGGGTCATCAATTATCACATATAAGGATGTATCATCGGCAAATAATTTAATATTACTCTGTATATCTTCAACAATATCATTGATATAAACCAAAAAGAGTAAAGGTCCTAGGACTGATCCCTGAGGGACGCCAGCTTCAATTGATTTAACATTTGACTTATACCCATTTATTACTGTAAACTGTTTTCTGTTATTTAGATAACTTTCAAACCATAATAAAAGAGATCCGCGAATTCCACTAGCCCATAACTTATGCAAAAGACCCTTGTGCCAAATCCTATCAAACGCTTTACTTATATCGCAGAATACAGCGCGTACCTCCTTGCCACTATCCATTGCCTTAGCTATATAGTCATACAAATGAGTGAGCTGGTATGATGTAGAATCACCAGTCGTGAAACCTGACTGTAATGAAGTAATAGTTCCATTATCTAGAAAAAATATTGACATATATTTAAAAACACACTCCTCAAATACTTTTGAAAGACAACTAGTAAGTGAAACCGGTCGATAATTAGCATAATCATGAACATTATCCAGAATAATGAATGAATGAACTGTCTCCAATATTGTCGAAGAATACATTGAATTATGACATGATTATGTACAAATCACATTACAGTGGGAAAGGAAGTTAAGCATATGTATGTAAAATACACTAGAGGTGATTGAATGAAATACGAATCATAGCTAAATTCTGCTCTGTATGTTCCAGGAAGTTATGGTCCTGGCAACAATGTCAATGAACTAGGCCTGCATGTGGATGTCAGTGTTGTCCATGATTGGGGGTGATGCCACCGCGTAGAGTGATAACTCTGATGTCATCAGAGCAACTCTCTAGATTAATGTATATCTCTAGTGGTGAAATATCGAATAATTGTTCACACGTCGTATTTCCGTGTCTATACAGTCCAGTACTGAACGGTAGCATCCCCAACTTCACCACGGCGTTCACATGTCAAATAGTAAGCACAAGTTCCACAGTCTATGGGTCGAGAGGCCCGTGTGTCTGACACTAAACCTTTGTAAATCGGGTCGCACGGATAACTGCTATCTCTTTGGTTTCAGTGGAACCACTTGCCTCAGAGTGAGTGAGTGAGTGAGTGAGTGAGTGAGTGAGTGAGAGTGTGTGTGTGTGTGTGTGGTTGTGTGTGTGTGTGTGGTTATCCTACCCAAATGTGTAGCTACTTCAGGCTCACATATCTTTACATCTTTCGTCTTAGCCTTACTCCATTTGAAAGAACTATATTTCCATGATTTTGTTCCGGTGAGTTGAGGATCTTTCATAACTGTCAGTCACTGGCACATGATCGGATAACATCATAGAGCAGAATAGTATCATTGGTGATCTCCAGCAGTGACGTTTTCTTGAGTATTCTGTCTTCAATGACACTGTCTCTAATGCCGCGACTCTAACTTACGTCTGGTGCCATGTATCAGATTTCTCTCAATGCTAGTTGTTCTTCGTTGAATGGAGTCTAAGTTGGTTATCACATCTTCCTTGAGATGACGTATCATCTTTAACATATCGGATTTGAATTTGTCATGTAGTTCATCGATCGTCCTTGATATTTTCTTGATAGATGTTTTTCGTAGTAAACCTTTGTTAATACCTCTTTCTGCGATGCACTCGCCGAGATACTGCCAGTAAATATTTGGTTCAGATAGTACACACCAGATGCCTACTTCTCATTGTCTTTTAGATCCTTTAGTGACATGGTTTTCACATACACAGACCTGAGGAGAACCACGCACGAATGCATTAACATAGTGTATCAATGACTTGGACATGTGAATGGCTTGCACGTATGACTTGTTTACAGGCAGGCCGAGATCGATCAAATACCAAAGCGGGTCAGAGCGATTGCCTAGGCGTACAGGAACTGATTTTGCATTCCGCTAGACTTCGAGCTGCTCGAGGGGCACATGCCATTTTACCACGCTGCGCTGGGCGACTGGCTGGAATACGAACTCACGTTCAATGTCTACGGCAGGCGTTGCCACTGACGCCAGGAAGTTAAATTTATATTTGTACGTGATTATGGAGTCGCAACTCAATGTAGACAATGAAGGATTCGTGCAAGCCATCTACTGAACTGCCTCGCGACCCGCACTGTGCCATCGTCTGTGACCAGACGGGTTCGAAAAATGGTATTCGTGCTGGACATGCTGGGGGGATACTAAATGGACTTGTTCGACCACATTGTCATTCTCTGACCGACTTCGCGCGTGAACAAAACATACACAGAGAGAGCATGGTTGATGAACGACGATGACATGCACAAAATCAATGCGGAACTGGTTCCATGCTTATCACGACAAGTTTAAAGGAGAGTTGACGCTGTTCATCATAGACGACTGCAGCGCCAACAAAAAAATCGTCAAACAACGAGGCATGCGAACTGTTAGACATTCTTTTTCAGTGGTGAATACAAAGCAATCATGACTACAGTCAGAGCACTCAAAGCTATTGCTTGAGAACAGGGCGGATTGGCAGGGTATTCTTGCATGAAGAAGAAGGCCCAGTTGTTGGACTTACTCTGCATTACACATGTCAAACCCTTAACCGTAAAGCAGTTGAAACATCAAACGCGAGAACTCTGCTTGCGCAGGTACTCCAAGCTTCACAAAGCTGAGCCGATTGCATTGCTTGAAGACCGCAAGCCGGTCGAACTGAGATGGTTGTCCACAGAGCATGCCGTTGGTAAGTATCTCCGAGGCTGGCTGATGGTCGTGGACTCGAACATTGATATCGATCGAGTCAAGCCACTGATAGCCGGCAAGTTTAGCCAAGAGCTGTATGATTTGTGAAGTATCAAGTTTCAGCTTATGGATAAATGTCGCTCAATAAACAGCAGACTGACGGCGGGGGCACCGAACGCATCGAGCGTTATTTCTGAGGCAAGCATCAACCATCGACGCATCGCTGCAAAAAATACAGGAATCGTTGGAACGATTAACGCACATACGTTCAGGTTTGGCGGTGGGCAGCATCAACACCGTTTATTTTCGACACAGCAAACTACGTGCCACTCAAAGTTGGCTCGTACGTGGACTTGACGGCTTACTTCAAGTTTAGTTGGGTTTTAGGTCACATCGGCATTGTTCCAGCCATATAGTGACGAGAACAAATTTGCATTAATAAACATTTTAAGTACATACTCGGAATGAGTTTTATTTCAAAAGCATATATTCATTACATTGTCATTTAGAAACCGAAAAAGTCATAGCACCAAATATAAAAGCAGGCAATTCGTTAGTTACACTACACAGTTACAATTTATGGTACAGCTCAACTTCCCTCAGGTAGATGACTATCAGATGAGCGCTCACGCGGGAGAACAGATCTTTCAGATTTGTTGCATCATAATGTGAGTCCCTTGCAGACGACAAGTCCACACAGTCAAGCAGAATATGCTTGATGGTGAAAACCTCATCGCAAGAGACACACATAGGGGCGGTTCATCCCCATCCGTCTCCAGCAGATAGTCATGTGTAAACCGACTGTGGCCAATACGACATCGTCGTAAAATTACTTCATCGCGTCTTGACTGACAACCCAAGTAGGCATAACCAATTGTTGGCTTCAGTTCATTTCTTCCTACTTGAGTATCCCATCTTTTTTGCATGAGGTGCCGTGTATAACTTTTGATATTGG